GATCTCATAATACTTCAATTTCCATGATTAATTAGCAATTTGAACAGTTGAAAGCCAATATACTTTAAACTTTTGTATATCTTCTCAAGAAATCAATGTGTTATCATTAAAAATGTACATGTATAAATGTCAAGTATATCAATTCAATTGTCTGATAAGGATCCAATACAATCATAACATAGTCAATAATAGATGTCTAAACAATGTAAAAATTTGGAAATAAACATCGTGTAAATCACAACAAACAAAATACGATTATTAATTAAACTCATTCACAGTCACAAAAGATAAAATAATTTATTTTGATGTATAATACTTATAATTATTTTACCTAGATATTTAGAAAATCCTATGTAGTAGTGTGAGCATTATGAATTCAATCAATTAATTTGATCAAAGTTATTTCAAAGTAATTATTTAACATCATAGGCACATAATAGATTGTTTCAACTTTTATATTCATATCTTAGTTCAAAGACTATTTTTTATTCAAATGTATTAATTAATGTGCACTCATTATTATATTTAAATGCCTATTATCTAATAATATTTATAAATAAAACTTAATTAAATATTAATATAGAAGTGAATATGAGGTCAAAATATAAGAAGATTGATTGATTCATCATGAAAAATTAATTTAGTTTATATTTACAGTGATTTTTAATATTTATCAATATTTTTAAAAAATAATAAAATAGAAGGGTGAGGTAACAAGAATAATGGAAAGGAAGTAGATAAAAGGAAGAAAAGAGAGAGTTCTCACAAAAGAGAGAGAAAGAGAGAGATAGATATAAATCTCATGTGAGATGGAGAGAGAGAAAGGTCTCACGAGAGAGAGAGGGAGAGAGAGAGAGAGAGAGAGATTTCACAAGAGACGGAGAGAGAAAAAAATGTCTCACGAGAGAGGGGGAGAGAGAAATAAGATGATAATAAAGAAAGAGAAATATCGTCAAACTATTTTCATAGTGACCATTATTCTTGAATGAATATGTGCTCAAGAATTCACACATAGGACATGAGATCAATCGTGAATGTCTCCACATTATTTTAATAATTTAATGATTATTAAGTAGCCTTTAATCTTATTAATTTTATATTTAAAAATAGAAAAATATTTGTTATTTGCAGAACACTGAGAACATTAATATGTTAAGATTTTATTATGAAAATAGATAGAAAATAAATTAGAAATGATCTTGGCTTGATCTTAGATGAGTTTCGGAGGATTTAGAAGAACAACAAAGATCATTCATCAAGTTTTGAATTAATTATACTTATTTTAATTAAAATATATATGAAACAAAAATAACTTGTCATAAAATATGAATAAATGACAAAAGTAAATAAGTAAATATTGAAAGTAGGAAATAAATCTTTGCCTAAATTTAGTCTACCTCTTGGACAACTAGAGACATTGGTGTGGTGGCTTGGTTTCATTCGGATGTGTCACCACACTAGAAGTTGTAGAGGTACCATTCGAAAGCATTGCATTACTTGTTAGAAAGATCCACTAAAAGGAGGGGTCGATCACACTATCATCGTCATCTCAAGAGAGAAGAAAAGAGTAGACCACTTTTCGGAGGCCTTGAGTATATTCAGGAGAGGAAGGAATAAGTTCGTCAATCGCTAGAGGCATTGATCATGCGAAAGAAGGAAAGAATAGATTGTCATATTCATGACTGTCATTGAAATTTTAAAGATAATCGATAATATCTATTTTATTGTACAATAATTAATTATTATGTTTATATCTCTAATGGTGATACATTCTCTAACTTAAGTTCTCGATATCATGATGTTTTGGGAGTTGTTAGATTAGATGTGTTAGGTCATGTGGTGTATTGAATGGCATAGGATCAATCTGCCACGAACCACTACTGATTGAGAACTTAAGTCCCTAGTACCATGGCGGCCTCCTCAGTCATTGGATCATCATTTAAGGCCATGTGCATGTTGAGGGGTGTCGGATTCACGAACCACTAATGGATTACTTTACACATCTGGTATATTAGTGGTTCATTGTAAGATCTGGCTTATTTGATGATGTGCTCGTTGAACATTACTAAATGATAGCGCACTTTAGATGGCTGCCTAAAATAGATAAGAAACTTACCACATCAAAAATACTTTGGCGAATGAGTTAAATATAAATCAAAGCTATGATCTATTAGTAAAGATCTCTTCTCCCAAAATAAAATAATGTCTAGGACTATCTTGGGAGAAAGTAGAAAGGTGATTTGCCCTTGTGTACACATGTGTGTACAATGCTTCTTACTCCACGATTGATTGACCACTAAGACATGATATGAGAGTGATGCACACATGTGCGAAGTGAGTCCCTCACCACTCGAGTCCAACTCATGGCTCTTCTAGTTTGGATCTACCCACTCAACCACATCACCCCTACAAGTCAACTATTGAGTGCCAACTTGTTAGTGGGCGATAATATTTTTCTATATTATTATTTTATTTTTCTAAATGATCAAAAATTATGCTAAGTATTTTAACTTCAGACTTTTAAAATTAACAATATATTCTTAGATTTATTCTGAAACTTAACAAAAGAAAATAAAATAATAGAACTAATTAAATCACAAAATTCTAAATTTAATAAATAATCATTAATTTCTAACAATGATAATTTCTATAAATATTCATAATTTTCCCATCAGTATCAAAAATAATAATCACCAAATTATTGGATTCAATATAATGGGATTTTAAATGCTCATTTAACTATTTTTATTATTACTTTGAGTTTTCATCAATTTATATTTGATTTAACTCAATATTTCATAAAAATAATATTTATTTATTCATCAATTAAATAATCAATAAGTATAATTCAGTTAATAGCAAATAAAATAGTCTAGTAGTACTTTTTGGAAGAAAATATTGAGAACCAAGGTTAGAGACCTTTGAAAAGTGAATATAGGCCAAAGAAAGACCAAAGCACTATAAATCTTTATCTACGACATTAACAAGAACCTAGTATTGACTTGTGTTGACTCAGTATGTCAACCTACTTGGATCATTCAATGTCTACTAAATTGGGTCAACTAATGTGTTGACCCAAATCATTAGCATGTTGACCCACTATGTTAACCCAAAAGAATTGTGTTACTAAAGTTGAAATTTAGAGAAGTAATCTAAAATCATCAAAAAATACTGATGCACACTAGGAAATCATTCTATCCTACTAGGGAAGTAACATTTTGGACTGACATTAGGTTTTACTCTTATTCCGTGGTGAATTTTTTTTATATAGGATATTACCTTAAGGCTATTGTTCTGTACCCCTAATGCATGGGAGTGGATGTATTCTCTTTTTTTGTGCAGAGATGGCAATAGGGGAGCTATGATTGCCTTTTCCCTAGTAGTTGTCATGCATGGGCCTCCATTGTTAGTTAATTGAAGTGAAAACACTGGCGCACAGGTGTACCTCTAATGCATGGGAGTGGATGTATTCTCTTTTCTTGTGTAGAGATGCAATAGGGGAGCTATGATTACAATTTGTTGGTGCTAAAGGCAGCATTGTTAATCATATTTATTTAGAAGTTGAATATGTATGTAGGATTGGAATTTTCACCTTATTGAATCATAATCTATGTTATACTATCTCCATCTCTTTTGCCAATTTATCACCCTCAATCTAATGAATACCTGATCGTGATTGTTGCATCTTGTAATGTGATTTTTTTTAATTTCTACATTTATTTATTTTGAATGACTTATCATCTTTTTGCCTAACTATAGAAAGTTGTTATTATTCTTTGTTATATGTTGAATGAATTCGGTTCCATGGGTCATTTGAATTTTAATACTCCTCACTAGAGGAAGTTAATATTATTTACATTCTTCTAGCAAAATATGACCCCTGGTTACTTGTCCACCCATTGATAGCAGTATAGTGGGATAAAACCACTTTGACATAGTCTTGGAAAAAGGCATGCTACATTGTGTATGAGATAAAAGACCACTTGACACAATTGTTTGACAATTATAAAGCACAGAACATTGTCTATGCTACATTGCAATGCTACCCATAGTCGGCATTGTTTTAAAACCCATTAGATTAATCATGTTATTAAGCTTACAGAACAGAGTAAACATTATTATTTCTCGCTATGACGTCGCAGGGTCACTTGTAAATCCACATACAGATATGCGTCCATTATGATTGGTTCAGATAGTTAAACATGTTCACTTAATGGGCCTGATCTCCCTCTTCTTTTTACTTGTCTGCTTTTTGTTCTCTTTTCTCTGTCGATTCTCTCCTTCCCAGAAATGGGTATTTGTAATCCTCCGGCGGACCAAGTGCTGTCTGAAGTAGAAAAAAGTTAGGATATTTCGGTCTTTTGCTGAAAGTACAGTAATGCCATCAGGCGTTACTGCATTTTTCCCTGGCAAGCAAGTCCTTCAATGGAGATTTCACTCTGTATCGTGGGAGAATTTGGAGGAGGATGCCCATCGCAGTTCTTTCGGTCGATGGACGAAAGTGTTGGCCGGAAACCGTTGCCCACCCTTCCGTTCATCTGAGACGACTGGAGCGGCGGTGGAGAGAGGCGACGGTTCCCTTTTCCGACGTGTGCTCTGCCTGCTTCTGTTCTCCGGGCATCGTGGTTCGGGTTAGGGCCGGCGTCTTCCTCACTTCTCCCGCGCTAAGCGACGGAACCAGAAGTGAGTATATACGTAGCTAGCACAGGGGTTCTCCTTTGCTTCTCCCACTTTGGACGCCGGCGCCTGAAGCAGTGACAAGTATCCAAGTATCTGGCTGCGTACAGAGTCATCTGTGTGATTTTTCTTTTTTTGGATGACTGCAAAGGGGATAGCGGCAGCTTCCTCCCTTCAGCTTGTTCTCTTTTCTTTCTGATGTCCCTTTTTTAATCACGTCGGGTTTTGAATAGAGATTAGTGCCCTTGCCACAGAAACCCTCTTTCCGTCGTAGAAACTTGAGTTATAAATCATTTTCCTCCCTGTACTGATTCAGCCACCGGATGGCGAACCTCACTCAGGATATTACGCAGATCGACATTTCTGAAGAGGTGCGGTGGGTTTGGGTATCCATCTTCGTCACTCATTTCTGGGAAATGAGTTCATATATTTACCCCAGTTGTGTTCTTTCTTGCAGGAAAAGGACAAACTTGTTGCGGATGTTATTCGGAGTATCCTATTCAAGACGCACCAATCATCTGGATGCCCAATAAAAAGGGACGAACTGACTCATCTGATAACAAAGAACTATCGTCAGAGATTGCTCCCTGCATTCGTCATAAATGAGGCCCGAAACAAGCTTACTAGCATTTTTGGATACGAGATGAGGGAACTCCATAGAATTCGCTCTTCCTCAACCAAGCAGCGGCACTCTTCTCAACAAAGTGTGCATCTGTTATTACTGGTCATCTTCTATTTTCCATGGATGTCTCTTGACATGCGAAAGTTAGAATATGGCATGGAGAAAGAAACTTGCAAATGTTGGGATTTATTTTCATAGTGACCCATAGATACCCTGAATGTAAAACATGGGGTCCCATTTTTGATATTTGAATGCCCTTCTTGGATTTTGCATCAACGAAGATATATACACATAAGTCATGGATATACGCATAAGATATACTTTTTTTTAATAATTTTTTGAGGAAGAGTGCATGTTGTTGATTTCAGGTGCTGGAGAACTAAAGTCATACGTAGTTGTAAGTAAACTACCTGCTGAAGTTTATCTCAAATATGTGGAAAATAAAGAGAATGCACACATCACTGGATTTATCTTTGCTGTGGTTAGTGTCGTTCATCTTGCTGGAGGCAAAATCCCATCAGGTATGCATATCATCAGTCACTTGTCAATTAGACAAGGTAGGTTAGGTTTCAACTTGATTAAAATTATTTGCTGCAGAAAGCTTGTGGTATCATCTAAGGCGTCTGGGATTAGATGAGAATGATGAAAATCACTCACTCTTTGGCAACATAAAGCACACATTGGAGTCTCTTGTCCAGCAAAGGTTATAGATATCTGAAACTCATGTACTCACCAGATTTTGTATTATATCATGGTGCATTAAAGTTCCTATGCGGATTAGGCTTTCCCAAATGTACACGTCACTGAGAAATATTATCTGTTTAAGACGTTTCCTGAGTTATCATCAGTTCTATGTAGGTACTTGCAGAAGGAGAAGTGTGATGGCCAAGACAGCAATGCCATGATATATGCACTCGCTGAGAGAGCATTGGACCCATCCTTCAATGAGAAACTAAAAGACTACATAGGACAGGTAGATTATTCAAAATTTAGAGTCCCCCATAAGATTCTATTCACTGTGCTATTGTTGCCAGAATCGTGGCTACATTATTATTTTTTTTTCATCCATCCATCAACTACGCTATGGATCAATTTTTTCATCTGAACTTCAGTTTGCTGCTGCTGATTAGAATTAGCCTGTGGTTTTTCAATGATGACTTCCTTGACATACTACAGTTTAAGGAAAAAGGATTACTATTTGCCTTTCTGGCGTTAAAATGAATCAACCTCCTCTAAAATTTAGCATTGCGGAGGAAACCAGCTGTGTGGTAGGTTTGTCAGTACTAAATGAAGTCTCATTGCTAGTAATCCTGACTATAGCTGTGCTGGCCACATCTGGATCATCCAATGCCCGGGTGTGAGGGATAAAGAAGATTTCCCCAAAGGTGTGATAATGAGGGACTAGGAGGCGGTGACATCTTTGGTTGCTAAGATTTTATCTCAGGCTTCTCATTCTCGTCCAGTAAGGGTATTGCATAGTGGTCATCAATTGTCTACCAATGCATGGTATCCACAGATCAAAGACCGTTGCTCAATACAAGTTATATAGCTTATTAAGTTTATCACATCTACCCATGCTCTTATCTAACATCAAACCTTGGTGTACTTCTAATCTTCCAAGAATTTCTATATGTGCCTTGGAGCCAAGTTTTAGTATTGCTTGATGCAATTAATCTGATCCAATGATCTCATAGCATAGTTTATGCCTAGTGCGAATGCCAGTCAGAATTTCGAAAATGAGACTTAAATACATTTTGCCGTTTCTAGATTATATTCTTTCACTAGCTTTTATGTAGTATATTATCTTACCAATTTTAGTTTACCTTTGTTCTTTTAATTCAGATAGCAAATATAGACATTGCTGCCGACGTCAACAACTAACATCCTGTTGAGGCAGAAGAGTACGTGTCTGGATCCTATGCAAGTCTGAAGTTTATTTTACTACCTAAAGTTGATTGCACTTTAGAATCTTCTAAAATTACCCTTTAGATGGCTTCAACATTTGGGTATTTTGCCATCCCCCGACATAGCTCCTATTGCGTTAACTCAGTCAAGCTGACTACTACCCTTACTGAGATCTTTTCTACCATAGAGATACTATTGATTCTCGATAGGAGATGAGGTTTTTCTTAATTTCTATATGACTGTGGGAAATTCAATCTTCTCTCACTGTAGTTGATAGGATCAAGATAAAGAACTTCTCCCCCCTTCTATTTTTCGAAAGTGATGTCCTACATTACTTGTTAAATGCTTACTCTGGTAGTGATATAAATGAGATCTCTTAAAAATATCAAATCTCAATAAATTTGTAATGTGTGATAATCAAACGATTTTTTTTAGGAAGCTGTGCTAAAAATAAGCCAAAATAAGCCACTTTTGGGAGCCTGCTAAATTTTCCTTTGTAGTTGTTTAAAGGTTAATTGTGAATTCAAACATATAATGATTTGAATCATAAAGTTACATTTAAAAAAAATATATCCATAGCTATATCTGTCGTAAGACTCAGCTTATATTTCATAACATATGCACTTCTAGACTGCTGTTACGAAATGATAAAAGAAACTTTTCCATATAGGGTTGGGGTACTTGGTTTCATACCCTCAAAGATGTAGTATAAGCCTCAAACAATAGAAATGGCACCAACAATTCATGAAGATCTAATATCATTGATCATTGGAAGGTTATAATGATCCATTTTGATCCCTCAATTTTACAAGGATGTGGATGTCTCTCAGCCCTATAGCCCAAACCATAGATGAAGAAACAAAATTTTTAATACTACAACCATTAATAATAATTTCACTGAACATAGTATGTTCTGAAAATTGGTGACATTGGGGCTGATCTTCTTCGTTTGGTGTGACCTTAGACATCTTTATGACAAATGAATGATTATGTAATGTTCTGTGATAATCTTTCATAAATGGGCTTTCAACTTGTAACTCACTATGCCATATCCAATGACATTTTGTTAATAGAAGTTTTAATGTGCTGGGTATGTCTATTTAGAACATTTCAAGTCATTATCATTCTAATCAATATTGTAGTATAAATGATATTCTATTGGTCTAATGAACCTTTTATCTACAATTCTAACCAATATTTCCTATAAACTTTGTATCAAGCAACTCTTGTGAATTTAGGGGATGTTATTTTGATCCTTATAGATTCAATGTTATATTATGATCCTTGTAGGATTGGAGAACATCGTGTCCTATAAATTCAAGGTCTAATTTTCATTCTTCATCCGCTTAGAATTTGTGTCTTATGGATTCAAGGCTCAAATCTTTAATTCTTTACATTTGGTATTGTGTTACAAAGGTCATGCCAAACATACTATCTAGTCTTACATTTTATAACCTATATTCTTTCTTTTGCACGTATAATGCATATGAATTCATACTTTCTTTAGCAGATGTGCACATGTAATGCACATGAATTCATACTTTCTTTGGCATGTGCACATGTAATGCACAAGAATTCATACATTCTTTGGCACATGTGCACATGTAATGCACGTGAAGTCATATTTTCTTTTGCACATGCACATATGATGCATTTGAATTGTTTTGTAAAGAGAGAAAGGATGATATCATCATACAAACTTCCTATGACATGTCATCGTTCAACCAATACCAAACAATTTGTCTAAGTTTAATATTATTTTAGATTCATATCATAATCACCTTCCACTAATCAGTGATGTTGAATATATTGACCTAACTTAGAGAGAATGAGCATCTGATTTGTAGTGTACATAAAAGAGAAAACAAATTCCTATGACCATGTGGAAGAATTTTTACTTTCAGCTGACGTATTTTCCTTTTTCTCTTTTATACTCATGTTAACTCACACTCCTTCATTGGGCATAGAATCATTTTCTCACCATTTCTATACCATGCATAATGATTACTCCACTGATTTGCGGCAATGGCAAGCTACCAAGGACTTCCTAAAACTATGTGATAAGTGTCCATGTAAACTATGTCATACTGAACTTTTTTGAAAGATTTTTGTCAATTGAAAATTTCACCAAATAAGTTTACTTAAATTTACTTTTAAACCTTTTTTGAAACACCCAATTTTATAAAAATGTACACACTATCAATAATAACGTCATACATTTTGCAGAACAGTACATTGTATTTTGGATATATTGTGATATTGAGACTAATTCACTTTCTTTGATGCAAACATCAGCCTCTTCAGATCTGACAAATAAGAATGTAATTGTACTATATTCTTCTATATATTTGATATAGCACAGCATGAACTCTAAGACTAGAGGGTCAACAACTCTCAAAATGGGCTATGAAGATGGCAAGATGTAAGTAGTGTGCAAAACTAAATTAGGCCCAAATAAAGTGTAAAACGAATGAGTCAAAGTTAGTTTTCTTAAAGTTGACATGGTTTCTAGGCTATTTAAATTTGTTAGACTCAGATAAAGTGTAGTTTAAATTGGCATTTGTTAGATTGTTTTTATTTTTTTCATCTGAATTTTAGGGTTACCCCAACTTATATTATTTTCAGCTGCAGAAAAGCTCATCACATTGTAACCCTTTGATGTACTCCAAACTGCACAAAAGCAAAAAAAAACCAGAACTAGAGGCCCAATTGCTTTAGAAATGGGCCGTAAAGTTAAGAAGGTTAAAAGGAGATCTAAGACCTTATATGGGCTCCAATAAAGTGCAGAAAGACCGAACTAAACCTGTATTGTTGGGCATACCTTATTTTGTTTATATCTTTGTTAGCTATTTCAGAGACAGACTTAGTATGTGTATGATTTTTTGCCAAAATCTATTTACGTTTGAGGGGTACAGTACCTTCGTTTTAGGTCTGTTTAAAGGCCCCCACATTGTAATTCCTAGGCAACTTGAATTATTATGAGATTGATCTCTTTTAAGTATTCCTCTCTACTTGTGAACTCACATCTCCACTTGTGAAAATTCAAAGGTTGAATTTTCTAGTTTTGTAGATTCAGACCTTGCTTTCTTCATCAAAATTTATAAGTAAGCAGTTAGTTTTTTACTAATTTTAATATCTATACTTTGTCACCTTAAACCATGTTTTATGATAGTATTTTTTTCCTTTATCCCTCTAGTTATGGATTCAGACTTTTTCTTCTTCTGGATTCAATGATCAACCTTAATCAATTTTGTAGATTCGACAATCATGAATTTTAAATCTTCTAGATCAAGGTGTGGTTTCCAAGCTTTGAAGTTCTAGATTCATTTGTTATAGATTCAATGTTCAAATTTGTCATTTTTGCAACTTCAGTTGTATGAATTGTGTAAGAGTTGTAGTTTTATACCCATCTCAATGAAGATGGCACAAAGCAAAAAGGGTGACCATGCTTATGTCAAACCCACATATGATGAATCTTACCTTAAATTAGATACAATGACGTGCATTAATGAGATTCTGACTCCCATTAGAAAAAAGTGGAAACATATATTGCTAAGGTTTCAATGCACAGCTATGCTATTAACTCAATATGTCAATACATATCATTGGGTCATGAACATCTTAAATTATCAGCATTTAGAATTAGGGATGAGTCTCTCTTTACATAACAACTTACCACACCAGTTGACAAGTAACTTTTATTGGTTGATATTTCTTATATTTTTTAACATACTTTTATATTTTAAACAATATTTTTTAAGCCTTGAGACTCATTGACAAAGTCAATGAAAACACTACAAAAATTATAAATTAGTTATCAAAAATCAATTTGCCAAGTTCAACAATATTTTTATTGTAATCCAACCATGATTCCAATTGTTTATAGATATCCCTCATTGTCTTTTAAGTGTACCATAATTATGGATAATATGACAAGTTAACATCGATAAGGAAATGTTCAAAGCAAAAAGGAAAAAAGATTCATCACATTCTCATTGTATCTTTTGATATTAAAATCGAGCTTATTATCATCATAATTTTTCATACAGGTAGAGTCTATTTGATGGCAGATTTTTGATTTAGACAAAAATTGCCTAAATGATCTCTGTGAGTGGGGCTGTATGGGCCTAATGGGCCTAACAGGCCCATTATCCTCTCTCTCTCTCTCTCTCTCTCTCTCTCTCTCTCTCTCCAGGTACTCTTTACGCTTCATATGGTATCAACATTTAAGGCACACCACCCCCCCCCCCTTCTCACACATTCCTTGCCAGCCCCCTCTCATCCTAGGGCACACTGGACCCTTCCCTGCCCCCCCTTCTCACATACTTCCTATCAGCCCACTCTCACCCTAGGGCACATCGCCACCCCCCTCCCCCTCTCACACATTCCTTGCCTGGCTCCCTCTCATCCTAGGGCATGCCGACCTCTTCCCCACCATCTTGTCTCATCCTAGTGCATGCTGGCCTCCCCCACCCCCCCTATTAGCCCTTGTCTCCTCCAAGGGCATATGCCTTGCACACCTTACGCCCACCAACAGCACACACATTAATGCTGCTGATTTGATTACTCTTTCATCCCTATGGCTACCTCAGGGCCCTCCACCACTCTCTTGAAGACCTTCGTGGCTCAACTCAATAGTCCCACATAAGTATTTGATAGGATGAACTATATATCTTGGGTAGTAAGCACTTTCTCTGATCACATGGAAAGTTGTCATCTCTTGCCAAAGATCCTCTTGAGGAGAACGACAAATAGGATGAATGATGGATGATAGACTTAGTTGTCATTTCTTAGATGCTCAACAATATCACCTCTTCTATTGTCTATCTGTTCACTCTTTGTTACCCTAGCGAATCAAGTTTTAAAAACTTTAGAACATATATATAGGAATTAGAAAAACATCTCTTGTATAGTAAAAGTTTGTGAACAACTCTTCAAACAATTCAAGACTATTATGTGAAGCTCAATTTACTTATGGACACTCAAAGTTTATCAACCTCTCACCATTGATTTGGCCACACAAGTTAGATATTGTGAAGAGTTGATGGTAACTATTTACCTCTCTAGCTGTCACTACTCCATTGCTTCTCAAATCTAGGGCCCACCAATGTCTTATCATCCCTTATAGTGTTTGTCTATATCTAATTACCAAACTCCCACTTCCACTTCAGTTGTCCCTAACTCTTCTACCATAATCATGATAGGAAGAAGGGGGAAGAGATGTGGCTGAGATAACATGTGAGACAGTGGACATGGTTTGGGTGGTCAGGGGCATCTCCCTCACTGTGAGCACTGTAGGTAGACCAACCATTGGTTAGAGAGTGTTGAGACAAGTTCGGCAAGCCTAATGATTGGACTTAGATTGTGGTCAACTCGATGTTATCCAAGAACTTCACATATCTCTATCTTAGATGAAATATGATGATTGGATGAAGTATAAGGAGGTTAGATTGACAAGTTATGTCACCACCCATGCTATGACTTCTAGCTCAAGTACTACTAGTCTATTTGTCTCAAATTTAACCTCTTAGATTTTTGACTTAGAGGCATCAGCTCATTTGCCAAGTACATTCACCCTTTTCTCTCACCTATCTACACTTTCTAACCCTTTCTCAACTATTATTATGAATGGATGTATTTTGTCATTTCAAAGGGCAAGGCATAGCTCATTTCACCTCTCACTTTCTTTTAACTAATGTTTTATCTATTCCTAATTTTCTCCTAAATCTCTTATCTATTAGTATCATCACTCAAGTTTTTCAATGCTAAATAACCTTCTTCTCTTTTCATCGTATATTTTAGGACTTGAGGATGAGGAAGATAATTGATTCGGGCTATGAGAATAGACATGACATCTACAAACTTGTTCATGATCATCTTTCCTCAGGACTTGCTTTTATTGTGACTTGTGTCGACTCCTCCATTCTTTGGCATTGTAAATTTGATCACTCCAATATCTCTAAATTATGACAAGCCCTCTTTTAGATTTTTATCTCCCCTTTTTTATCTGAATCATGTCAATTAGGTAAGCACCATAGAGCTACTTACAAATGTTTCAATTATGTTCAAAAGTCTAAAATAGTTTGACTTAGTTCACTATGATGTGTGAGGTTTTTCTCATCGACCTCTTTTCTTTGACATCACTATTACATTGTCTTTGTAAATGATTACTCCCATATCTTATGGGCCTATCTCCTCAAAGATCCCACCAAGGTACTTTTTATTATTTGATAGTTTATTCACAAAATTGTTACTCAATACTCTTTGACACCAAAAATTATTCGAATAGACAACACTATTGAGTTCGTTCAAGATCCCTCTAAGATCATTGTACATCTCTCAACATTCTTCGCTAGACATTTTTTTCCCACACTTGTTAACAAAATAGGGTAACTAAGCATTAGAGATAGTAGTTGTGAGAAGTAATATTAGAGTATATGTAGTGAGCGACTCTCATCTCTACAAATAATATTAGATTTCCACAACTTTGTCATCTTCATCTTCATATGAATCTCTTTTATCTCTCACCACTGGTGTTTGGGTCTTTGTCAATTACTTTTGCACTTAGAAAAGTTACCACATATACTTTTCGAACTGTCAACAATACATTATTTCTACCAATGTCACATTCTTTTAGGACACTTGATTCTTCTCCCCTATTTTTATCACCCGTGCACTTTCCTCACCTCCACTATTACTTCATTTGTCACTACATCTTTTGAAGGAGTTACTAGGCTCACCACCCATTGAATCATCAAACCCAAACTCACTATCCTCGCCTACTTTAACCTTAACTTCATCCTCAAGTCTATTGTCACCACCTAACTCTGACCTTCATCTATCGATCACTCTTTGAAAAGATATTTGAATTTGTACCCATTGCCCTATTTCTCACTTAATTTCTTATGACCACTTTCACCTTACCTTTCAAACCTTTGCCATAATGCTTACCTATAAGTCAATACCCAAGATGTATTTAGAGGCTTTGTAAGTACTTGAGTGGAAGACAGCTATGGACTTAGAGTATAATGCCTTAATCATACACAAAATGGGAGTTGATTCCTTGTCCTAAGGATATCAACATTGTCACTTAAAAATGGGTGCTTACACAAGTATTCATTGGAGGGTAATATTGTTGGACATAAAGTGCATATGGTGGCTTGGGACTTCTCTCAAGTATATAACATTGATTATCAAGAAATATTTTCTTTAGCTATTTTGCTCAACTCTATTCATGTTCTATTTTCATTGGCTCTCAATCAAGGGTGAATGTTCACACAACTTGACATCTCCAAGACCTTCTATGAAAACTTGACCTAACAAATCTTCATAAAGTAACCTCCAAGGTATGCTACTCAAAAAGAGTCATCTTAGGTATGACTTCTCAAACAGGCTATTTATGAACTCAAATAGAGTCTCCAAATGTGATTTGTTTAGTTTAGTCAAATCTTGACTATTCACAAGTTCACGGCATGCATAGTAGACCCTATTGTCTTCTACAAATAAATTACTAGTGGGAGTATCATGCTAATAATTTATGTCAATGACATCCTTCTCCTAGGTAGTGACATAAATTGTTAGCATGATACTCCCCCTAATAGTCTATTTGAAGAAGACAATAGGGTTTGCTATGTATGTTGTGAACTTGTAGCACTCAAGACTCAATTTTATTATCTGAGTACTCAAGACCCAATTTATGGGACACCACCTCTTCTATCTTTGAGGATGCTGAGCAATATAGATGATTGATCAAAAAGTTAATCTACCTAATAGTCACTTGCCCTGACATTGTATACACTATAGGAGTTATCAGCCAATTTATGCACAAGCCACGATAAACAAACTAGTTAGGAGCACTAAGAATGTTGGTAAATGTCAAATATGTTTTGAGGTGAGGCTTAATATATTAGCAACATGGGCATCTCTAGATTAAGGCTTACTCATATTCTAATTATGCAGGCAACAAGGGTAATAGCAAATTTATATTTGGATATTGCATGTACCTTAGAGGGAGCCTTGCCACTTGGCATAGTAAAAAACAAAATACGATCTTTTGTTCTAGTGTGGAAGCCAAATATAGGGCTATGACAAATACATGTGAAATGATATGGATACATTCACTTCTATAATTATTATTTATAATATGTACTTCTATACCTAAGTATTATAACAATTAGGCAATAATTTCATTGCAAACAACCTAACATTTTATGACCATATGAAATACATTGAAGAAGATTGTCACTATATTCAAGACAAAGTATTCCAATGATTCATCACAATATCACATGTTCTATTATCAAAGCAACTAACAGATATCTTCACAAAGAGTGAACTCTATAACAAACTAGAGATGCTAGACATCTACTCTCCAACTTGAGGGGGAGTATGAGTGAGCCATATGAGCTATATGAGCCTAATGGGCCTAAGATGCCCATTATATCTTATTGCATCTATTCCTTCTCTCTCCTAATATATATAGGGTAGACCTTAATATATATCTTATTGCATCTACTCTCTCTATATATACTCATTACACTTCACAATCTCTATAGAAATATAACAAGCCTTTAATAAAGGTAGACCTTATCTCTCCTTATAAAATAACGGAAATTTAGTATAGTACCATCCATTATAATACTAGACCTTATCATTTTAATGGATAGTACCATCCCTTATAATACTAATTCTCAAGAAATTCACCACCGAAAATTCAATTTTTTACTTAATATCCAAGTAATTTTTATTGAATGAATTGTAATGTTCAACAGGACAATTGAGTTTCTAAAGAAACATTGAGTTAGAGAATTGTGTGCTCCTGTTAGATCTTAACTAAAAGCAACATTATAGTGGAACCAAAACAGAAGATCAGTATTCAATTTAGTTGTGCTGAAACATTTGAGTTCATAATCTGGGATCGGTAGGAGTCCTCGTCTGCAATGATAGAGGGTATGTTCCATGTTCCAATAGTATACCCTGATGTCTTCCCCCCTAAAATTGCAGATATGATCGGTCAAGATATGGGGCTAGCAATATATATCTACACAATTAATTGAAACACAGACAGAATTGCGACCTTCAATTGTTGCTTCTTCACATCTTCTCTGATATTTTGCTGATAGATCAGAGTCCAATTCCCTCAATAGACGTTCATATTGGTCCTCCAATTCGGAAATGCATTTTGCCTACCAGCAAAGAAAATAAACTTTAGCTAGGTAGACCAGGAAGAGTGTACAGTGTGTAGCTAGGTATAAGTTGCACAGCTTAACTTACCAGCATGCTTGGTGCCATTTGAGGTCCATATAATTTAGCAAACATCCGCAATATATTGAAGCTATTTTCAATCACATCATCCTAGAATAATCACATTCCAGAGAGATGATTAGTCATATTAAGCCAATGAACAAACAAGTTTAACCTTGGTTCTTGATCAAATAACTGTTGCAGTCAATGAGCAGTCAATGACACTAAATGAGCACATTCCCTACTAAATGAGCAGTCAATAACTGTCGCAGGTAGGAAGCGATTGGAATGTGTTAAATCTGATAGATGGATGCTACATATTGTTCCAACATCCAATATTAAGGAAATAAAGAGAAAGAAATACCTCATAATCGTAGCTGCATCATCGGAACGCATGCCATTCATCCAGCATATCCATGCTTGTTTTATTGTCAAAGCAAGGAGGAAAAAAAACACTTCATTCATCTTATCCAACCACAAAGGGAATAAAATATGTCATATGAAATTTATCATAAACTAAGCAATTGTGACTGGAGAGGACAAGACACTGAAGACGGATATATAAAAATTAATGCACTTGGCATATCCATCAAGAGTATGTTATGTGGATGTCTGCGAAGTGCCACAAATTAGGCGGTCAGTTTTGTCCAAGGGCTCAACATTGGCACATTAAGATAAGATTGATCGCAAATATTTATTTCACACGTTGGTAAACCATGTAATTATATGAGGCTAAATGGCTGATAATTATTCTACTTAAGGTTCTTTCTCGAATAAATACAGACCAGTGAATGAAAATGTAGATAACAGGGGTGAGAACGGAAAAATGGAAGAGGACAGGAGTGAGTTAAGAAGGTGAAGAAAGAGAAACTAGTAGACGTGAGATAAGCCTGACTACACAAAATGGCCGGGCGATGCAGATAGTCTACAGGAACAAGGGTGGTGGATAGAATGAAACTGAAAGATGCAAGAGCATCATTTATTCATCTTGGAAATCCTCCTTTTGGAGAAGATCAAATATTCAAATTGTCCACACTCCAAAATTCGCTTCTTTGAACTGCTAGGCAACTATTAAGGTCCAAAATGGAATTCCTTGGATGATTGTAGCTGTCTTCATCTTGTGAAATTGTGCAGAACTCGTATGGAAAGGAAACTACATTATCCCTAGTTGGTTTATCTGGAAGAATATGCTATGTTTGGACTAGAAGCAACCATTTCAAGTTGAATCTTTGATGTGCGTTCTTGATCTGGTTTTATGTTAAACCTCTTTTGTTGTGCATTTCGTGATCATATAACATTTTATTTTGCAAGACTTATTTCATTCCACAAAGGCAATCATCTTTATTTCTGGTCACGCAAGAACTGTATTTCTCTGCAAATCAGTTAGAAACGCAGATACTTGACAGCATGTTTTCACAAAATATACGAAAGTGTAAATAGAAAAAACTCACAGATCATCTGATATTTCAACCAAGAACTCGGATACCGAAAGGAACTCCATATGCAACTCATTAACCTTCAGAAAACGAAAATAAGTAACTGTCACGAAGCAATCATCGTTACAACTCAATGTGTCCAGTCAAACCAAACATAATAAGTTTTATGAGCTTGTGTGAAAGTGGGAGGTGGAAAATCCTCTAGACCAAGATTCTGAACCACATATTTCCAAAAGGTGTATACATTTTTATCTCCCACAACCAATAGTAAACAAGATCGCATAGTCAACATCATAATTTTGAATTCAGGCTTGAGAATGGCGTGAAATGGCAGTAATTAACCAAAATTGAATAGAGAAAAATTATTTAATACATAGTATATTAAGTCACAATAGTTCATCGGTATTGTAATACATGTGGCACAATAGAAAAGATGGATTTACATGGATGAAAGGCATAGAATAATATGGTTAGGGCATAGATTAAACAACAAATTCAAAGGTTTAAAACATGGTCGGTTGCTGCCATCCATGAAAGAAAGAGGCTTTATCGAGAAAAGAAAGTATTTATGACAAATAGAGTGTGGTATTAAAAATTTTGAAACAACAGAACCAGTTAAAATGTCAACCAAGTCTACTCTTCCTCGGCACATTTTATAGCAAATCAAAGAATAATTAGATGGGCCTTCATAAAGAGGTTATTTGACGTAGTGTTTCTTTAAATTACAGTTACATCTGAAATTGCTCAAATGTTGGACGACAGGAAATACTTACAATATGACTGAACTTTTTTTATCAGGATAAGCCATCAGACTACCAATTTAAATAAATCTTACTCAACCATCATGAAAAGACATTGAGAATGAAGCATGCAGAGTTAACAAGCTATTAGAGGAGTTGGTTAGGATAATTTCTTCAAAGAAATAAAATCAGCCAAAGCATAAACATACTTTTTCATGTTAAAGCATAGATCTAACCTCATTATCATCCCTGAAAGCCCCATCCTACCAGTCAGCCAAGATTACTTCCAATTCTGGATCCTATGATCTGAAGATGTTTGACACCCTTTTTATCTTCCACAAAGGCGTCACAGTTACCTCGCCAATATTAATTCATTCCTATAGATCTTCAAAATTTTCTGTCAATCAAGTTGGTCGAAAGAAAGGCTTCCGTGATTGTTGGATTTATTGAGGTGATACAAGCAGAACAGGGTTCGCTAGCTTGGGTCTTAGATGGAAACCAAAAAAGTTGAATCATGTTGGAAAACAAAGGTACGAAGAGAATGACCTTTGTTACAGAGGACAGAGGGGAGAACAGTGGACAACTACCTCAAGATTCGTTCACCTCTAATACCTCTTATATAAGGAGGAACCTTAGACAACTGTCCCAAAATACCCTCAATCTTTTACAATATTTCTTTATGACTTTAAACTTCCAAGACTCTCCCTCAAGGATGAACTTTAGAAAAGTTCATTTTGAACTTTAGAAAAGCTCAACAAGTGAACGATGAGCATTCACTTGTTGGAAAGTGAGCCTATAACGACGACAATCTATTGTCCAAACAACTCCCCTGGTGATGGTCTCAAAAAGCTCCTCTTTTACTGTGTTGTGATAATACAAACTGATTCATAAGACAATGATGCCTTTTAATGCCAAACTACACAAAATAGTGCCAGACTGCACAGGACTGTGCAAGATGGTATCAAACGATGCGAGATGACCTTGGCACATTCAAGATGGCGTTGGACAGAGAATCATGTTGGACAGAGGAGGGACAACACTAGATGGAGGAAGGCAATGTCAAACAACACGGATGGTAGTAATGTGGATTACAGGAGACTCTGGTCGCTTGACTAGGGAGGATGTCAGATTGATGTAGAACAGAGGGAGACGGACTAAGGAGGACAAACACTAGATTGAGACAACACTTCATAGATGACTACATAAGAATGATGCCAGAAAGATACTTGATAGAGATGGAAGACCTTGCCAGAAAGAAACTCAACAGAAGTAGAAGACCTCACTGAAAAGTAGCATGGCATAAGTAAAAACCCTCACCAAAAAGATACTTAGTAGAGGTGGAAGACCTCACCAAAAAGTAGCATAGCAGAGGTGGGAACCATTGCTGGAAAGATATTTGACAGAGGTGGAAGGCCTCACTAGAAAGAAGCATGAGGCCAATAGCTCCAACAGATGGTGGTGGAGGACATTGGCAACAGTGGCGTCAACCTGCAATGATGCCAAAGAAGAGTTTGAAACCCTGACTTGGCTCTCATACTATGTTGAGAAAACATAAGTACGAGGAGAATGACCTATGTCATGGAGGACAGAGGGTAGAACAGCGGACTACCTCAAGATTCATTCACCTCTAACAAACTTATATAGGGAGGAACGCTAAATAATTGTCCCAGAATACCCTCAGTCTTTTACAGTATTTTTTTATGACTTCAAATTTCCAACAAATCACATCAAATAATATCAATTCAATTCAATTACATTTTATACTATCAAATATTATAGGATTGATTCTAAATTGTTCTAGGAGTTTCAATCGGATCAAGACCTTTTTAGAGGTCACTAGTCCACTACAGAAAACTTTGCAGCAAAGGTTATGTATGGGTGGAGTCAAGGAAGAGGAAATGTGGAGATGAAGGACAAAAAAAGAAAGAAAAACAGAGGAAATGTCAAAACGGCTAGTAGTAGCTTTTTTCTTCCTTTTATTTTTCTTGGATAAGTCTCTCTCAGCTGTCAGCAGCAGCTTCCGACACCACATTAGTCAAGAAAATTGGCCCAGCGAAAGAGAGTGAACGAAATTCATTAAATTTGAAGTGTCTATCTTAATATATTTATCATTGTTTTGATCAAAATATTTTCCAGTCAATGAGCTAGTTAAATTTTTCTAGAATATAAAATCATTTCTTTTCAAACTTTGTTACTGAAGTAGAGTGCGATTTCAAAGTATTTTTGTTACAGCATGAATTACCTGCAAATTCAGCAAATGCTTATGCTTTTTTATTAATCCTAACAGCAATTATGTGAGATTATCGAAGGTACTTGACTGATAGCATATAAGGAAATCTGAGGAAAGCCTGTCATCTATGAAAGACAACAATTCTACTTAGTCCTCCGGTGCAGTGGGATTTATAATAGCATCGATACTAGTTCATGGGGAAACCATTCATAAAATGCGGACTGTCAATGAGCAATGTTCTCCAATCCTCGTCCTTCGAATTGGTAAAAAGCCTTCCAGTGGGGAAAAAGTGAACTATACCAAATAGCAAGCATACTTGATTACTGATCAACACACCAATGTAAAGAAACGCACAGTAAGTAGCTGGCTTTTGTTTTACAGAATCTGAAACTTGAGGGAGGCCTATTCAGTTATGGAACAGACGGGTGTTTAAAGTATTTTGTTGTATCAGTTTTCATAAGATACATGCATTACAACAGACAGCATACATAATATAGCCAGAAAACACGTGTGACAGATTTTCGTAATTCAGATGCATAGGTTTCTATGAAAGTACATGAATGGTTCCCCACACCAGATCCAGATCGGTAATCGTGGTCAGATATTGAGGTTAGGGAAGATATGACGACTTTCCCACGTTCAATCCAACCCTAACTAAGTCAACATACTGTATATGCCAAAGAGAGATCGAGATCCTTCCAGCGAGTGTGGAATGTCGACATATCAGCCAACATCAAAAGTGACCAACATCGGCATACTAGGTGGACCGTTAGAGACAATCATCCCCAATCAACTCAGAAAGATCACATGGTTTCGGATTTTTAAGATATGTTATGAGTAATAGGGTAAAAAAGAAACAGGATAACAGTCCATGAGACCATTAGGAGATACTCTTGATTACCAGAGCAACTATCTCTCTGGAAAAAGGAGGCTAACAGCTACAGATTTATAGAATAAAATAGGAAGGGTACTACCATTATTAATAGAAAAAGAAAAAAAAATCTATATAGAATTGTCGTTCTCATTGCCATAGTTCCATCTTTCTACCTTTTATGTAAAATATACTCGATAACATGTAGTTGCACGCTATCAAACTAGCAATCCAATTTAGAGGAGTCATCGAATTCATCCAGATAATCTGAGATAAAAGCTCCACTAAGAAAGTCATCTTGAGAGAAGCATTTTATTTCCCATTCCCACCAATGACAACTATCAGATTCTGGATTGCAGTTACCATCTGTAGGAAAACTATAAGTGGGCTATTAGCCATTGAACATTCACAGCATACATCTTTAGAATTAAACACAGCATCAGTCCATCCTACAATTCAAAAGCTAATAAAATAAATCATACATTTGTATTTTAACTAGCGAAAACAGTATCTAAATGCAACAACGAAATCACATAAATGATATCATGGGCGAAACACGTTTAATATTATGGAATGACATGGAGAATCAAAACATTGATGAAAATCTAAATATGTTAGTGCGAAGGATTTAAATGGATGGTTGAGACGAGAAAACTTTCAAAACAACAAAAATACAAGAAAAAAAAATTCCTGTAGTGGCAGAAGTTCGGCTTGGCCCACATGCCTTTGCAAATGCGGCAGCAGTCCAAGAACATAGCACCATTGGGAAGTGCATAATCACACTAATGACCAATTTAGTTACTGATGTCAAGGGGCATGGCCAGAGAGGAGCTTTAGAAGGCCTAGATGGTGGGAAAGCCCCAATGCATATTTTTCTTAATCATAAAATAATATATTTCTTAATGAGGGTTGCACCCAAAGGTAGCATATTTTTCTCAACAATCAGCAGAATATTAGTGTTCAATAGTAAACAATGAAAATAATTTCAGTTTAGTAATGTCAAGTGAACATTCGACCACGCAGTTCAAGTGCATGCCCATGAAATCAATGACCATCGTATTCAGGCAAAATATTTGAAATCACCAAGACTATCAAAATAAGTACAAACATTGAAAGTCAAAAGTCAAAGAAAGTAGGTACCTGCTCATCCCTCAATTGATACAAAAGAAGATGAAGAACCCGATAATCAAAAGATTTTAGACGCATCGCTTTCATTACATCTTCAAGTAAAATCTACAAAAATAGATAAATCACGCACTCCGGTGAACTTACATTGAAAGAGAAGAACAAAAATACAATGGAAAGCAGAAACTTCAACAAAGCAATGCAGTGATATGCTCAGATTTGGCCATTTGAGATACAATGTCAACTCGAGAAAGAAGTGGGTAAACTATGAAAAGAAAGGATTTGCTAGTGGCAAAATCCAACATAGAAGTACAGAAAAGAGAATCAGGGCAAGGAAAACAACATGAAAGATGGAAAATGATCATTTCCAAACGGAATTTGGGTAGTACTAAACATTTAAAATAAATTAGAAATAAAAAAAAAGGAGCAAGTTACCAAACGTTACCGCTGATACCTAGCTACCAAACTAACACAGGACAATTTCTCTTCTATCTTTTCTTACTCCTTTATCTTGCTATTCTCTCTTCATGGTGTTGTGAGGAAGGGACCACTGTACATTACCCACTCAAGCCCACTATCGTACTAGGCTACTTGTAGAATATTACATATGCATATTGGTTTCACAAAGCTTGAAGAGTTGAATCTGAGGCAAAAAATCTCCATCCAGCACAACCACTCTAGGTTTTCTGTGCATTTCTCCTCTTCTTCCTGCCTATAATATTTACGGGATATTATCACAGATTCAAAGGGGATAGCTTCTATCTCTACAATTGTATCTCTTCCATGCTTATGGTACGAGTCCAATAAAAGAGGAGACTGTCGTAATTGACTCAGGCTCATCCAGGTCTGATGGTGTCATCACCAGCAGACAAAAAACGCTTGTCTCATGCTCTTCAACAGCATGAGACAAGCGTCCCCAAGGTCCAATCTTATTGACACTACTCTCCTCCAGATCCCCAAGGTCCAATCCTATTGATGATAAATAAGGGATCAAGTAAAAGAGGTAATCTTCCCTCATTTAGACTCATTTTTGGCCTCTCTTTCCAATCAGAATATGATCTCTTTCTCAAGCTTGTAACCAAGATCCTCAACCACTCAAGCAAATTCAAGGTTGTCCTACATTCTGATACAACCCCATTACTGACATATAGGTGTAAGAAGGGGACACGTGCACAGCACATGTGAGGACTATAAACATAGCTCAGGGGGTCATATCAGGGGGAGAACAGTCAGAACCAGGAGAGGTAGGGGAATCCTCTCGAATTCATTCCCTACCCCTTTTACTCTTCTTTCTCTCTTTTTTTTCTTGTATCTCGATAGAACTGTCATCCCGACATTCTATCATACAACATTCTCCTGATTTCGTGAATCAATACAATTGTTTCTCTTCAGATTCACTAAGATCCAATCCTTCCAAGGAGGATTGTATCATTGGTATCAGAGCCATAGTCTTGTGGCCGAAAGCATCATGGCTCCAAAGATAGCTAATGTTTGTTTTGAAGCCCTAGAAGCAGACAACGAGAACCTATGGGCGGATCAACAAAAGATGGCCGAAGATATGCAAAAATCACTAGAGATATCTACAGATCTGATGCACCAACTCCTAAAAAACATGCAACAATTCCAGCCGACAGTAGGTGCTCGATTGGATTCCTAGAGACAAAGGAGACTCCTAATCTACAGCCGATATCATCATTCCATCAAGAATAGACAGAACAACGAGCTGAGGTACAATCTCTTATTCACCCAAAGGAATCTGTTCCAAACAAACCTACAACAGGTCACAATATCATTCAATTCACCACAAAACGGAAAATATCAGTATTTCATGAAAAAAATCATGAAGGCTAGATGAGATGTACTGAAAGATTCTTCAGATTAAACAAATCGTCACTAAACAGATTCTAATATTAGAAAGAAAAATTTGATCTAGGACATCACTGCGAGAAACAACTCCAAATTCTAATAGTTCATGAAGATGACTAAAAAACTAATGACACTATTCTATATGATTCTAAGGATGATATGGAGCAACCAACAAAAGAAGGGACACTATTTACAGGACAACTTTCATTGAATTCAGTGATGGGACTAACTCAAATAGGAACTATGAAGATGGAAAGAATTTTGCAAGGGCATGTTGTCACCATCCTAATTGATTCAGGTGCGACAATAATTTCACATGCTCAGAATTATGTGTACACCTCCAATTACCTCTAATATAAATAGTGAATTATGAAATTCTCATGAGAAATGACGAGGCCTTATAATAGAATTTGTAAGAGTATCTCTCTACAAGTTTAAGATTTAATCATCACTCAAAAAAATTTACCACTCACGTTAAGAAGTACTGATGTTCTACTTGAAATACAATGGTTAAGTTCCACAAGATGGATGCATGTAAATTGAGAAAACATAACCATAAAGTTCATAGTAAACATGGTGCTCAGAGTCCTCAAGGGAGATCCAAAGCTATATAAATCAGAACTTTCATTAAAACTGTTAGAAAAAGTCATCAGGCAGCAGCCCCCAATCTGTCTTGAGTTAAACAAGGTACAAATGCAAGAAGAAACAACGAGTACCACCATTATTTCCTCAATTGAATCTCATTTCAAACAATTATTTCTATCTGTTTTCTCACCCACATTGAGACTATAACTAGAGTGTGAAGTGGACCGCTCAATTAATATTGTTCCAGGTAGTAGGCCCGTAAACCTAAGACCTTATCATTATTCCCATCTCCAGAAAGATGAAATTGAAAAGCTGATACAAAAATGCTGGTTTTATTCAGCCCTCACAAATCTCTTATGTAAACCCCATCTTATTGGTGAAGAAAAAATACAGTGGCTAAGGATTTTGTGTGAACTATCAAGCCTTAAATAAGGTAGTAATTCCAAATCAATATCCTATACCTATCGTAGATGAGTTGATTGACGAATTACATGATATGAGTATTTTCTCTAAGCTGAATTTGAAGTCAGGGTACTATCCAATTCGTATGAAAGCTTCAGATGTTCCAAAGACAACATTTAAAACTCACAATGGGCATTACGAATTTATATTGTTATGCCCCTCGGACATAGAGTTATAAAGAATAAACTCTCCTCTTCAGTCTTCATTTATTCATTTGCCGATTTGTATTTTCTCCATATGCCATTAATTCCCCATCTGCTACTGAGTCATGTCAGCTTCCCCTTTCTGCTTCAGCTTCTAATTCTTCACTTTCTCATTCTACAATCGTTCTATCTATTTTTGGTATTGCCCTCCTTCTGCATCAGCTTTTCCATTTTCTTTGCCCTTCCATCCTCTACTTCTGCTCCTAGCCATCTATCTGGTCCAGGTACTACATCCGCTCTTGGTTCTTTTCCTGTATTGATTTTAGCTTCCTCTGATTCACCTTTACTCTTCTTCTATGAAATCTACACGCAGTTAGTCCAAAATATATGAGATACACAAAATTCTTTCCATTGGAGTTTCGTGGTTCAATTATCACAGAAAGACAGGAAAAGGTACATAGAGGAAGAAGATATTTCAACACATCTACTTGAGGAAATTGAAGGTTCTATTTCCCATTATGTGTATGATGTTGGTTAGATAGCAAAATGTTGACTAATACCAAATCAGTATCGCACAGAAACACACTGCAAGGTAACTATTGTGGCAGAGATATGAAACTTTTATATGAAAGTCCAAGTCTGAAATAAATAAGTTTCAGTTCCATCCTAGTTCAATCATTTTCATCTATGTTTCCTGTTTGCACACAAGTAAATGCTGTCATATGGATCATAGTTTTGCTTTCGTACTCTTACATTGATATCTGCCTGCAAGTAAAGTTTCTAAAGCAATTAAAAGTAAGGCAAAGGCTTAGAACCTTATTGCCTCAGTTGGATGATGACATCTAAGTGGTGTGCCTTACTGGAGGCCTCATTGAAATCTATGAAGTCATGCATGTATAAACTGAAAATAAAAAATATATCTGTTCATAAAGAATTATCAAATCCATTATAACTATCATTAATATGTTGGTTCTCAGGCCTGACATTAGTCCCAATGTTCAGTAATCAATACAAAGCGGAAAACCTCTTTTATCCAGTAATAAAAATGTTAAAAGTTTCCTATCCCAAGTTCAGAATTCGTTAGATGAATATTCATGTTATTTTGGTGTTTTTTTGGGTACAAGTCTTATAATGTTACTTTGCCTGGTGTTTTTACCCAAGTATATAACGTTAAGTATGGGGCGGCTGGGAACAAAAGAACTAACCACTGCCTCTTCCCCTTTCTTCTTCCTCCTCTTTCTTCCTTTCATTCCAATGAAGATTAACCAATCCTCATTAATAAAATTTCACTATCCACTACACAAATAAGGTAAAGCATTCATATTGTTTTTTTTTTTGCATGTTATTTTTGATGGCAAGTAACAACTTATGGAATAAGCTACAGTATATCTACTGCTCCATTTTATCGAATGATAGATGCAACAAGCCAGGCTCCCATGTTACTGAGGTAACAAAGGAAAACAATTTGCAGGCAGAATTGCTTCGGTTCCCATAGCGCCTAATAAAGTTTATTCTGCCTCCCACACGCCACTGACATGCCAGACCAAGGTTACAGCCTGATACAGCAGAAATCGGGCAAGAATAAAAATGGTCTTTGAATTCACAAGGAAGATGGAGGAAGAAATTAGCAACGCTGAAACTTTCACTATTCTACTCATTAAAGAGGTAGAAAGGAAATTTTCCATCCTAAAAAGTTATACTCTAATAGGAAATCTATTAAAAGATAATAGGTCTTAAAAAAGATAAATCATTACGTAACATAACAAAGGAGAGCACGTTTTTGGCCTAATAGGACCCCTAGACAAAGTTTATTTGAGCCTTCTACGCTTTACCCTTTCAGACATTTTCAGCTGCATCATTGAGGCCCTCCACACTTTCTAAAATATTGTTTAACGTCACTGCCAAATCATGGATTGGGATAGCTGCATACTTGGAATGATTGTGATAGGTTAGGTTAAAACACTACTTTTTATAGGAAAGCCTTTTCTGCAAAAAATTCATTTGCTTATAACCTCTAATACCATATTAAGTCTTCCAAGCAAATTCAAACCATCAGAGCATGTAAGAACCAGTGGTTCTACTGACGGTCACAGCAATGCCACATCGTTTTTCATATACTCTGATTTCGAGTAGATCATTCCCCATTTATAAATAAACAAAACAATAAAGGCCTTAATGAAAATAATATAGAAAAGAAACAACATTTGTTCTCATATATTTGTTTCAATTTTACAATTTTGTGATCTAAGATGTACTTTTTACTCTTGTTGTTGAATTCCTTTCTGTTGTTGACCATTTTGCTTTCCATGTATCCCACAATGCTAATCATTGAGAATTTACAAGTGCCAAAAACAAATATATTTCACTTCATGTGAATAATGAAATGTTTTCTGAGTGGAGCAATTGAATAGCTCTCGATGTTTTGACAGAAACTAACTGACAATGCACATCACATTCTTGAGAAAATGACATTAAAGACTTAGAAAAATAATAACAACAGAATGTCAAGTAGAAATGTAAAGCGACACCTTCGTTTTGCTGGTTAATCTTTGACAAAGCTTCCTCTCCAAAGACCAATATTCAAGACCCAGTTCTAATTCTCTTTTTATCCTAAACAATTGAAACACGAAGCAGATCATCTTCAGAATTCGACACGAGGAACAACTTAAGGGGAAGAATAAAGGAAAGAGATATCAAACCTCTCTGTTAGCAGACCATGTTGTTCTAGAAAAAAAATAAGAGGATCAAATGAAATAAATTTGAATTCTGATGGGATATTCGTTTGATTTCCAATCTGCAGGAGATGTAAAAATCAAACAATATTATTTACATAAATATGTATTTTACTCCAAAGTATGAACCTTTAAAGGGATAAAACAATGTCATTCTAAAAAAAAGCCTGTGCAAATAAGAATAGTGAATTACCAAATTACTAGGGCAATTCCTGAAAGTAACAGATTTTCCAGATCTGTTCTCTTCGTCCACTGACAAGCACAAACTTTTTTCATTGATAATGTCCAGCTATTTGCAAGAATGTCAGAGAAATGTGAGTAAAAAGATGAGACTACCATCAGATATGTGTAACAAATATCATTTGAATAACTGTAAACATTAGCACCTGATAAATGTAGCTTTCTGTGAAGGACAGAACTGGAAGAAACCTGAATATTGAATGGGGGTCTTCGGCCTCCATACCATGAAACATGAAGTAAGATCTGCACTATATTTTGATGAAATAAGTTATTGGACTGAAACTCGTTCTTGTTGATTTGAGGTTAAGAAATATTTAACAGAACAGGAATCTATTTTTAACAAAAAAAATGAATTATTTTCAGATGTGTTTGCTAATCCCTAAGGTGGTAAGTTAATCACATATTGCTAAACTAGAGCAGAATTATGATTTCAATTAAACTAAAAAACTCCAACGATAATGTTGAGTCTGGATTTACTCTTAAATGTAACAAAAGCATATATAAACGATAACAAACAAAATTCCATTCCAATGATTGAATCATGGAAGAATATGCTCCTTTTAACCACCTCACTTTCAGACGACAATAAAAAAGATGCACCTCTACTGAACAATCAGAGAGCTCTAATAAGTAATTACACTCACCCTATCACGTTGATATTTTCATGATTTCCCCAGCATAAGCCACAACAACTAATGTAGCCCAAGCATGTAAACGTCAAATATCTAAGTTTCTTGTATTCAAAATCGCATATGAAGAATGTGACACTCAGATACAAGAATTTATTGATAACAAGTCTTTGGCAAGCATTGACATAAGTTCCACGAAATATTATATCCCAAAATAAAAAATGATGCATTTCAATGACTTGTGCTGTGAGAAGCGATCAACGAAGAGAACAAAATGAAAGACAGAATAATAAAAACGTGCAGACCGTTGGAGCATTTATTTTAATCAGAGAATGGAATTACTCATAAAAGGCAGATGCATACATTATATGTACAACAATCCCACAGCCATCAGAATGAACTTCATGTCTCCACATATTTCATCTTGATTACCCTCATGAGATCCCATTAGACCCACTGTATTTTTGACTGTTTTAATTAGAATCATATCTTCTAAATGCCAGCATCCATCTATCTTATCCACTGAAAACCGGTTTATGAGAAAATTAAGTGTGTAGATTATGTCCAAGTTGCATAGAAAAAATGTCCAAAATTATTATTATGGTTAGTTGCATCACTGTATTTTTCATCGATCATTAGAATCTGATCTTCACCACTCTTGAGTATTCATTATTAAAGAGCATAAGTACTAACAAAATCCTCAAGAGTAGAATTTGCCCTCTGCATGGCGTGAAGACCTATCAAGGGGAACCCTTCATCAATATTCGGTGAGTTAAGTTCCCCTTCCTTTACAGCACCAATCTCAGCAGGAAATTCAGCACAATTTTCCTCATAAACTGCGAGAAGGAGAAAACAAGCAAGAAAACTGAGAAGCACCATTCCTAAGATTTATTATCTGAATAAATGAATTATATATCAAATGTAATAATCTAAATTATAACATGAAAATTGAGTTATCTTAGAAACACAGTAAGGCGAATTTCTATTTAACAACGTTCATCAGAGGACTCCCCTAGAACATGAAATTTGCTAATAACAACTAAAAAAAAGTTTGAGGTTGGACAAAAGAATACTATTTAAAACCTTTTAACATGTTGTAGTCGAGATAATACACGGTCTGGAGCTCTGATAGATGCCCAGCACTCGTGAAAGAAGAACGAAAACTTTATTGATCAAGAAAACTTATTACAAGGAGAGTAGGATCCAGTATTTATACCAGATCGCTAGAAGGTTGTAGACATACTGATGTACATAAAAAATGAAAGATACAAGAGGACATATCTGTAAATATGTAAGGTATGCAGGTTATTTAGTACATCTCAACAACACTCCCCCTCAAGTTGGTGAGTAGATGTCATCCATTCCCAACTTGAGAATAATCTTCTGCAGTTGTGTACCTGAGATGCTTTAGTAAGCATGTCTGCAAAGTGATTATTTGTTGAAATGTATGATATACAAATCACATCGGCCTCAAGTTTTTCTTTGATGAAATGGCAATCAATCTCCACATGTTTGGTATGGTCATGCTGTACTGGGTTGTGCACTAGATTGATTGCTGGCTTATTGTCGCAATAAATCTTCATAGGACTAAATAAAGGAATTTGTATCTCGTCAAGTAAATTCTTGACCCAAAATAACTCAAATATTTCTTGGGCAAGTGGCCTGAGTTCAGTCTCAGCATTTGATCGATCAACTACATTCTGCTTTTTACTCCTCCAGGTGATGAGGTTGTCACCAACAAAAGTAAGATGACCAGAGGTTGACCTTCGATCAATCATTACACAGTCAGCATCTGTAAACATCTCAACCTCTACATTTCCATTTCGTTTAAAGAGAACCCCTTTGCCGATGTGCCTTCCAAATAATGTAGCATTCGGTAGGCAGCATACAATTGAGACTCTTTAGGTTGATGTATAAATTGAATCAATATACTCACTGCATTTGAGATACTTGGTTGAGTGTTAGATAAAGCCATAGGCCAATGAGACGTTGATACATCTCACGATCAACAGAAATTTCTTCATTTACCATTCACAATTTCTGGTTTGGATCAAGACGTGTATTGGCTGGTTTACATGTAGATTTATCTATTTCAACTAACAAATCTGTCATATACTTCTGTTGAGAAATAAAAATGCCTTTAGAAGAATATGACCCTTCAATTCCTAAAAAATACTTGAGTCATCCCAAAGTCTTGACATCAAACTCTTGGGCCAAACAATTGCTCAAGTTATGGATCTCCCCTTCATCATTTCCTGTGATAATAATATCATCAACATAAATCAATAGAACCATAACTCCCCCTGAAGAAGAGTGTTTAAAAAACAATGTGTGATCAGAATTACTTTAGGTATAACTCAATTTTTTTCATGACTACTCTAAACCTTCCAAACGATGCACATGGGAATTGTTTGAGTCCATAAAGGGATTTCTTTAGCTTGCAAACAAGATTGGATGGATGATTACCCTCACATCCTGGTGGAAGAGTCATGTAGACCTCTTCAACCAAATCACTATGAAAGAATACATTTTTAACATCAAACTGTTGAATATTCCAACTGAAAATCGCTGCCAAGGATAGTAAAAAACGAACTATATTCATTTTGGCCACTGGTGGAAAAGTCTCTTGATAATCTATTCTATAAATTTAGTGTACAACCCTTAGCCACCAGCCAGGTTTTATACCTCTCAATCGAACCATCCGATTTATATTTCACCGCGTACACCTATTTGCAACCAACAGTTTTCTTTTCTCGTGGTAATTCTACAAGGTCCCATGTCTGATTTTTTGCAAGAGCTCTCATCTCATCATCAATGGCATGTTTCCACTCAAGATTGGATAGAGCCTCGAAGAGTTTTTTGGAATGATAGTGATGTCTAAGGATACAAGAAATGATTGATAGGGTGGAGAAAGTCTGTGATAAGATAGAAAATTGGCAGTTGGGTACAAGGGCAATGGAAAGTGAATACTGAGGTAGGACTGCAAGATCATCAGATGAGTGAGATGTTAATGGCTATATATTTTCTAAGGCCAGATCAGAATCTTGGATTTTTGGTGAGTCGTGAATTTTACCTCGCCTAGAATAAACCTTGCCAAACCTTAGGTTTTCAAGAAGTAGATTCAATATACGACCTGAGTATTTCAGGGACTGAAATGGGAATAAATAAGTTACCAGCTGAAGACAAGAGTGAATAATCTACCTGTTGATCCATATGAGCTGTAGAAAGTAGATGTTGATCACTGGATGGAGATTCTTTAAAATAAGAATCAAATTCATGAAATGTAACATCTCTAATGAAATTAAAAAAATTATAGAAGGAGGGTGGTAACATTTGTACTCCTTTTGATTGGTACCATAACCAAGAAATACAAATTTAAGTGATATTGGTTCTAGTTTGCCTTTGGTTTGATTATGAACATGAATAAAAGAGACAACCAAATGTCTTAAGTTCTAGCCTAGTTTTAAGTTGGTCTGGAAAAAAATTGAATAATGAATCTAACAAGCTGTGGAAGCCTAAGGTTCTAGATGACAATCAGTTGATGAGGTATGTGACTGTTAGAACAACTTCACCCCAAAAAACTTTAGTTACGTGATGTTGAAATAAAATTGATCGAGTGACTTCTAAAAGATGCCAGTTTTTTTCTTTTAACTAAACCATTTTACTATGGAGTACAGACACAAGAAGATTTATGTATGACTGATTTTTTTCATGGCACAAAAAAAATTCAGAACATCATGCACATCAGATCTTTTGTTTGAGAAGGAAGACACATACATCTTGTACAATCATCAGTGAAAGTGACAAATCAATTATTACCACGAATTTCATTAATGGAGGATGGTCCCCAAATGTCACTACGAATTAGGAAGAAAGGAACATCACTCCATTCCTTTTGAGATTGAAATGAAGTACATCTGTGTTTAAAAAGTTCACACACATTATATTTAAGAGTGTCTAAGGACACCCTTCGAAACAAAGTGGAAAAAGCTATTTTCAAAGTGCTAATAGATGACCCATCCATTGGTAAAGTAGTCATATCTTAAGAACATCTCCTAGAGGTTCTAAAGATTGATCTGCTTCCACTAGATATGTTTGGCTTAGTCTTTCTAGAAGATAAAGACCTTCACACTCTCTAGCAACTCCAATCCTCCGATGATGTACCTTACCAAATATGACATAGATATCTTCATCAAAAAAGACACAATAAGGTGTCTCTAACAAGTTTCTTAACTGAAATAAGTTTTGTAAATAACTTGGAGACATGTAGGACATTAGTAAGAACCCTAAGAGGTTCAAGTTTAATGTCTCCTATACCTGCGATGATTAGGAAAGATCCATCTGCATTAGTCACTTTTCGTGTGAATTATTTCCCACAAATTTTTGACTGTAGATAGGAAGAAAAAATCTCGAGTAATTTGGGGAATCATTGTTCCCCAAAGCCAAGTTTTGATTAATGCATCGTCTTCTTTCCATCTACGAAATTCACGAGACAATGGATCTAGTTTTCCCTCAATCAAATGATGTAACATCCCTCTTCTGGTCAAGACCTCTCGAACATATTCTGACCATTGAATTAAATTGTATACAATTAATTTGAACTCTGCAGGCATTTTAGAACGTTCTACAAGTAATCTTGGGCCACTTGGACCAAGATTAACTTCCCTTGTGGAGGCTGGATCCCCCAAAGATAATGAAGAATTGTCTCTCACATTCTCCATTTAAAGAAAATGTCTAAATTCACGAAAATATCAACTTTCGTGAACAAACCTCAATAGAGACAAGGAAAAACGGTGCAAGAACTGTAACAGATGAGTAGATCAGTGCGGAAGCAAAAACGGAGCGATCATGCCTGGATTCGCTCTAGAAGAGACACAGCGAGGGAGAAGATCCCTTGCCGGAAGTGTACAGCACCAGTGACTCCAGCAGACGATGGAGAGAATGTTGACAAAGCAACGTCAACTTGTGATAGTGCTAGAAAAATAGGGTTCAAAACCCTAGAATGGCTCTGATACCATGTAGTCGAGATAACACACGGTCTGGAGCTCTGATAGATGCCCACCACTCATGAAAGAAGAATAAAAACTTTATTGATCAAGAAAACTTATTAAAAGGAGATTGGGATCCAATATTTATACCAGATCCGTAGAAGGTTCTAAACATATTGATGTAGACACAAAAACTGAAAGATACTAGAGGACATACCTGTAAACATGTAACATCTCGACAACACATGTCATCAATCATGCACTTTTTCAGAAAAATTCAGGCTTCTTATTATCAACAAACTAGAACAGAATTCTAATTAAGAATGCCAAAAATTTAATTTCCACACTGCATAACCAGCCCAAATATGTGAAGCACAACCATGGCCCAGGAAGGCTGTAGGTAAAAACAAATTTACAGGTGCCTTTAATTATATTTACCTTCTTCAGCTAGATTTACAGGTGCCTCCATCGAAAGTACAGCAGAAATCTATCATGTGAGCAATGTCAAACACTTTTCAATCCATTAGTGAAAAGACTTATGGAAACAAAATAATTCTCACACTCACCTTTGCCAGATGCTCATTAACCAGATGACATGCTTTCTCTAAGTTTATAGAGCGTGGTTGTATCTGCAGGATAATAAAGCATACCCAAATTATAACCAAAGAAAATAGAGGTTTTAATTGCAAAATTAATTAAGAAAATTGAATTATCTCATTAAACTGTGCAGATAACCACCAAGAATATTACAAACCCAATGTGGGCATCATCATCAAAGGCACATGGTAAATTGATCATTTTCATAGTTCAAGTCAAACAGTTGTAGATGATTGAACTCAGAAATACAGAAGTCAATACGATGACAGACAATTTTGATAAATGAGTGGAAAAATCAAATGTGGTCATTTTGTGGACAAAATTCAGCAATACCATAGATATCCATCAAGTTGATCAAAGACGGTCCATGGTTTCTGATACAGGACATCACTCAAAAAAATGAGGAAAGCAAAAGAATTGACCCACATGACCTGTTAACGTGAAAGGTGAGTTACAAGGATGGAAAGGCTCAAAATGAGATTAAGTCATAAAACAATCACGTCAATAATCCATCAGTTTTCAGTTTTAGAATTTTTCTTGCAGTTGAGTCTTTTTAATTTGCTTTTCGTAACTGATCTAATTTTCCAGGAGACTTACTACTGATTTTTGGCATATCTAAAGGCTAGCATGCTATAACATCAGAGGACATGAATAATACAAATTTTCGTTCTCTTTGTGATTTTTCTGAGTGCTTGTGGATTCAAGAAAATTTGTGGATTCAAGAGCCGTTTTTTCTGATCCTTGTGGATCCAAGGATCATGCAAATCAATCATTGTGGATTCCAGGATTAGGGGAATCCGTGCCTTGTGGATTCAAGGCTCGATTTTTATTCTTCCACTATTTCACATTTCGTGCCCTGTGGATTTAAGGCAACATTGTCAGAGCCATCAGCTAAAAGCAACATTGAAGAACGAGGGGAGAAGCAACTTTGTCAGAGCCATCAGCAAAAGGCAACTTTGCAGAACGAAATTATTTAGAAAATTTATAAAAATGAACAAGACAAGCTATTAACTGAGAAAAAAACTGGAAAACAAGAATGAACAAGTATCATATGATTTATGTCTTCAATGCCATTAAACTTGAACTTTTTCAGGACCAACTATTATTATGGTTCAAGCATAATGAAATCATAAAATGCTTAATTTCCATTGTGGAGTCGGCAATCAAACCCTGCACAATCACTATTCTGCAGTACAATGGCATTTGTTCCCAACCCAACTGGTCATGCTCAACTCTGCAGACCACATTGCTATACACTTAGACACATAATTAATATCTATACATCACCAGTGATGGAAAAAAAATATTACATGTTTACTTGAATACTCATACCGAAAGACCAAAAATCCTACAGTACAAATCAGAAAGACCCGGATTTACAAAAAAAATGTATTTGCATCTATCCACCTGACATCCAACAGCCTTCTACATGCAAAAACTCTACAGGAGCCATGAACATACAAATCTTCAAGATCTTGAAAAACTCTAAGTGAAAGAACTGTCATGTGCTTTAATGCCACAACATGAGCTTATGAATGCATATAAATAGATAACAATCAAAACAGGTTCATTATTCAGAAATGTTGTGAAGATTTTTTGAAACACCCATTGTATGATCTATAGCATTCAAAATAAAATTGTGCATGATACCAATCATACCAATTCACAGAATCATAGAAAACATTTTGATGACTATTTTGATTGAACATAATTTGGACTTTTTGCACAAATACAAACGTTCTGTAAATTAATCCACAAGATCACAATTTAGAAAAAAACGATTTCATTATTTCCCTTCAGATATCTAGGATATTAGGGGAGTTTGGAATACTGTTACATGGTACTAGAATACCTTTTATTTTCAGATTCAATATAATGTATCAAAATCATCAATTGATAAAAAAGATAAACACAAAAAAGTTAGAACTTTTCTATATTGAAATGCAAGTTGCCATTAAGAATGTGATTTAAGGTTATAACTTTCTATTTCCGTTTACCTTCCTCATGATGGTGGGGATTCTCCAAAGTGAGGCCCCTAACATAAAAATATAAATTTTACGTGATTATGTTTCCTGGAATGTGTCACACTAATCCCTCAAATGAGGCATATTATGATGATGCATTGATTCAATTTATACACAGTAAGTACTTAGTTTGTCCTGAGCTGCTTATATGTTCAGTTACTAGCATTAAGTTGGTAATGCATTAGAAAATGAATGACAGACTAATTTTAAATAGGGCATAAAACCTTTCTTTCATTAGAAGCTTTGGGTGACATGGGAAAACCAAACATTCCTCCAGATTTAAATGTGTCAGCGTAAGATTTCCCCTCCAAATATCCTTTGATTGATAACCAATTTTATCCAATTCTCGATACTGTCATAGTTCACAACATAAAGGAATGTGGTATCTGCAATTTTTAATTAGAAAAGTTCCCCTTCACCAGATTATCTGACAACGTGGAACCTTAATCAAATAATGCCAACATATACTTTTCACTTGTAACTACAACATTCCATGATGATACAACAGCGAATTAATTATTGACTGAGAGACGTAACAATGGAATATTTATTTTTTGAGTATTCATCTCATATGATGTTTTGGAAATTACACGAGAGTACTCTAAGATCTCCAACATTCAAGCAAAATATATTAATACAGTTCAAAAAAAAATATACCAGAAAATAATATTGGCAAAAGAAAAAATAAGAGTTGGATGCCCTTTCTAATCTACTTTAACATTGAATACCAGATCCCAAATGGACTTTTGAGTCATTATGAGCCTTCCAGCCATGTCTTCTTACTTCTTCTTAAGCACTATACAGCATTCATCGCTTTCCAACCCCAGTATTGACACAGACACTACATAATGGTTTTTACCCCACACAAGGATCAGCAAGACATATCTGCGTTTGAGAGAAAATGATCTGAGAAGCAACAAAAACACAAATATACTTTAACCATTGATCTCCTAGAGCATTCTCCCCTCAGATTGTAACCACAAAAATACACACACAGAAAATGCATGGAATGATTCTTCATGAGTGAAACGCGCTGACCACGGGGAATTGGACCTCCAAGCCGGCAAACTCGACGGTCTAATTCAACCTCTCAGAATATCCACGGGAGTCATACGGAAATAATGAAACGCCAGACAACTCGGTTGACCAAGTGAGGGAAGAAACAGGGAATGAGGGCGATGGATACTCTACCAAGAAGAGGAGGAACTCCGCGAGGAAACGGTCGGAGTTTGATTGGCCCGATGAGATTCCTCTAGCCTGCATGAATGACAGCATCCCCTGCACCCTCTCCAGCTTCCTCAGAGTTTCCATTTCCACCCCAGAGACGCGCGGTTTCCACCTCGCCTTCCACAGATGCGACTTGGTACCCCTAGCTCGGGGTGCATTTGCTTGTGTGCCCCCATAAATATTCCCACAGCTTTTCCATATGCCATCCACAGCCATCCGAGTGTAAAATGGGCTGCCTCTCTCTCTCTCTCTCTCTCTCTGTATTTATTTAGACACGCAGACACGCATCTGTACATGTAAGTGAACGGGATACGGGCCTGAAGGCCCATATTAGATTCCAACTACTGCGTCGGCTGTGTAAATGGCATCTCCTAATTTACGCGATTCAACACCACACACATATTAACTTTATTCATAGCGATCAGGACCAACAAACAAAAATGAACCAACATGCCTCTAAAATGCATGAAGAATTAAAGCCAAAAATGAGTTGATGATTGTTCAGTCTAATTTTTTGAATTATGTATAGTTTCCACTGTTGGTGGAAGATCAATATTTTATGTAAAACAAGTGATTAGCAATGTTGTTTGTCCCTACATATGTGACAAATCTATAGTGCATCAGAGTAATGTACATCAACCATGTTTTCTCACTGTGCTGGTATTTACTTCTTAAAGTAATGTTAGAATAGCAATGCATATGATATGTGTATATTTGATCAAGATGAGTAAAATGGATGATACGACTGAATTCTGATTTATTCTCTCTCACCTAGATATTAGGTCAAAATTGTGAACTATCAAACAAAGACAAGAGATAATTGTAACCATCTAATAAAAAATTGTGTTATGGTTATCATTGAATGAAGGAAAAGAGTTTGATTGTCTAATTTTTCAGCCGAACCATGTTCTTGAAACTCTTCTTCATATTAAAATAACAAAGTCAAGTTCAAACTATCACATTTAACATATAATGTAGTATGATAAATAAACACAAATTTTAGTGGATTTGGAACCAATGGAAGTACTTCAATTAGTTATGAAGATTTTGAATTGATATTTAACGTGTTAGTAGAAAAATATGATGAAAATTAAAAGTTTACTAGTCAAGAGAAAGGAAGAGAAAACTAATTATAATTAGAGTAATGGAGGGTTGACTTGTATGAGTCACAATTCAACCCTAACCTCTCCTTATGTAATGCATCTCAATCGGTTCAAATACTTATGTGAAGTCCTAACATGACTTAGTCATTATATAATAAACCACACAAATTTAAAAATTATAAAATAAGAAAATATTAATTTTTTGATATATAAAAATATTTTTTTAATAAATATATTAATTATAATTTAATAAAAGTTATAAAAATAGTGACAATTTTCTAAATTAATTATAGTGATGTAAAGAATATATTTTTTAAAGAATTTTAAACTAAATAATAAAAATATAATAAATTTAATATTCATAAAATAAGGGAAGTAAGGGTATGAATGTCAAGATAATGTTAATGTTCAATGAATATAAATCAAACAAAAATAAAATTTCACCCAATGATTCTTACATAAGTGATTATAGATAATTTAATTAATCAAATTAAGATTTGTAAAATTTAGAATAATCGTTAATTGAATCAAGAATAGTTTAAAAAATTGACATCATATAGTGTTACTAAATGAAGCAAAATTAAGTTCAAAGGTAGAGTTTCAACTTCACGACAACAATCACCATAATTTTATATGTTGAAGATAGTTATTGTGTAATGTCTACAACCTCAAGGACTCTCCTTGGATATAAATGACTTAAGTATTTCTTAGATTTCATTTTAAAATCTAAAAAATGATGATAAAAGTTAAACTAGTTAAAAATAATAAAATAAAGTTCTAGCATTGTGTAGTGATACGTCAAAATTTTAAACATTTAGAAAGATTGTCATGTAGTGTCTACGACATCAAATGCTCTCCTTATACAAGGATAATGTATTTAATTTTTAGATCTTCTTGCGAAGTCTAAAAATCAATAAAATGAGTCATCGAATTGTCTCCAATGAATGTCATTTAATAGAGTAAAAAAATGACGACTTTATAGTTTTCCAACATCTATCATCTAGTGAAGATGAGATAGATGATTTTAGAGAACTCCATCTTTAAGTCCACATAACAAAAGAAGGCTATTCATCACATTTAGTACACTCTCAAGAAGTGATGACTCATCTCTTGACGGATGTTCTCTTCTTAACAATAATTTATTTGTTGATCAATTTGAGATGAATTACTCAATAGATTCATAATCTTTTTATTATAAATCATTCAACAATTTTATAACAATGTGTTGTAAATCATACTAATGAGATATTGAATAATTTTGATGATTTAATCTTCAACAATCTACAAGAAAATTATAATTTAATCAGATAAAAATATAAATTTTGACTTTAGTAGGATTTGAACCTTTGTCGTTCGTCTGTCTACATGAAAAAGAGTGAAATGAGTACACGAATACTCTTATAAAGTGATGTCATCAGGGTACCTCCTTTTGATAAAGAAAAGGTATTTGAGGTACAAAAATTATTAAAACATTTCAAGGAATGTATGATTGAGATTTAGTTCCACATTAGTTATAAGCCAATTTTTGAGATGAATATATAATAATATGACATTTGGGAAGTAACAAGTCCATTTCTTATGTGTGTATCACCACTCTTTACCCAATGCCCGGCTAACCACTAGAGATGTGGAATAGGAGTGATGCACATGTACCTCCTATTAGTTCATCCTTAGCCACTTGACCTCTACTCACGACTTTGTTCAATTGTGCTTCCAACCCACTTGTGGGCTCAACAAGTCTCTTCCATTTTCTATCTTTTTATTTCATTTTATTTTTCTTTATTTATCTCAAAAATAGGATTATAAAAATTATCTAAATTTATATAAAATCACATAATTAATTAAAAATTTACATTAAATAACTAAAAATTACTTTTTACAATTTAATATAAACCTATTTACTATAAATTAAGGCTAAAATTATATTATTAATTAATTATTAACTCATAATAATGAAGACTTATTAAACTTACACTCTTTTGTTAGTAGGTATGAAAGGGTTGTAGACATTCTATCCTAACACCTCTCTCTCTCTTTAACATAGCATATAGTACTGAGTTATTGCCTATTGTTGTTAAGCATGCAATGCCCTAGTCATGTCATTGAGTATTGGTGAAGAATTAGTCAATAAAAAATCACTCATTAGGCTTAGTGTTGACTTCAATGGATATCACACCAAAGCCCAATTCATACCAACCTTTTGCTTCCTTTCATTTTGGTGCTTTGTGATTGAGAGTATGGGTGATGAGGCTACTAACTCTATAGATGTATTTCTCCACCTCTTGGTAGGGATGCTTATTGTGGTGTATGGCCTAAACAAAAAAGAATGAAGTCTAACCTCCTCCTATGCTTGTGCTTCCACATTTACTATTGTACAAGTTTTTTCTCCTACTACTAGACAATGTTCATTTTCTCTGCACATTCAAGTTATATTTTTTACTGATTTTTTCATTAAGAAATATTAGTTCAAATTCATTTCTACCATAATATACCACATTACTAATGACATGACATATCCTGAGAGGAGTATTAGGCTACCATCCATGCCAAAGTTCTGTCAAGCTCAACCAACTTGGATGTACTACCTATTGACCCTAGTTATGGTATGTAAATCCATTAAATTGCTTTATACATGCTAATAATACCACATATAAACTGAAAAGATGCACAAAGGAGAAGCCTAGATGAAGAAACACAATTAAGAGCACTTGAATCTCAAACCTAAAAAGGTGTAGAGCATGGAGTTTTTGAAAGTTATTAAGCCCAAGTTGCAGTGCATCTAATGCTCCACAAAGCCTAGTTACGAATAGTGTACATAGTGTTCCTTAGACTACCAACAATGGTTTGACAACTCCACAAAATCAAAGAACTTTCCAACAAATATCCCTAAAATTAACATTACATGCATCCACTCTCAAGAGAAGATAACAAAGAAGTAACCACACATTGATAAAATCAGAGAGAAAATCTAGGGTTGACTCCAAAAGGCAATTCTAAGATTTCAAGAGGTAATAATGAAATGCATGAAGATGTAATCTTGGATCGTTTGCTATGATGCACAAAGTATTTTTAGGAAAAAGGAACAAAACAAAAAGACACAAAGTAGCATGAAGAAGTGACTCCTCTCATATGTCATAATTTCCCACTAGCAATAGTGCAACATATTTTCCAAATGATTAAAAGCATCCAAAGTAAGTATTCTTTCCAACGAATAATACTTAAATCTTGATTTCCACACCTTACTAATAAGTTAGACTTTAACATCATGGATATCATATTTTTAAGTACATATTAATAGGGGCTTGATAAGTCTTCATTATCATGAGTTAATAATGAATTAATAATATAATTTTAGCTTTAACTCATGATAAATAGATTTATATTTGTGTCAAATTATGAAAAGTGGTTTTTAGTTTTTTAATGTGAATTATTGACTAATTATGTGATTTTATGTAAATTTATATACTTTTTATAATCATATTTTTGAGATAAATAAATAAAAATAAAATAAAAAGATAAAAAAAAGATATATTCTTAAAGTTTGACTTTTAAAATCAAGTTTTTGTTAGCTCTTTGGATTTCTCTCAATTACATATTTTTTCATTAATGGCCTAACTAAAATTTCAACATTTAAATTCATAGTTTATATCCACTTAATTGTCAAAATCGCCACCAATTCCCCATATAATCTAAATATCACCTCCAAAATGTTTTAAAATTATCATAGATCAAATAAAATAAAATTTTAGATACCCATTGTATATCATAAAACTATATATAGGAAATGATTAAATGAGAATAAAAATTAATCATCATGACCAAAAAAAAAACTAAAAGTTAGAAAACACCTTGGTTAGACAAAATTGTTCCCCAAACTGCAATTATATTTCATGTTGATTACTAAGAGTTTTTGATGTGAAGACAAGTCAAAATCTAAGTTAAAAAACTTTAAAAAGAAGGCATTATAGACAAATTTCTTTTACATAAAAATATTAGGAACCAATTGGATGTACTCCATTAGAAACCATATTCCTTGACTAATCAAAGAGTACTATTTTGAAAATATTTTTCCAAGCATACTTCTCTAACTTTTTAAAGATAGAATATTGTACGACTGGATTAAAGGTAGAATATTTTCTCTCTTGTCCAAAATTTTAGACATTTCTTAAGATAGATCATCATGTTGGTAGCCGCCTAATCTTTTGCCGCACCAGCTTTATGAGAACATTTAATTTTTTTGGACCAATTATTATTCATGAGTACGATGGTGAGACGCCTTTGTACGTTCAGATAATGAAAGATTCCGCAGTGAAAAATTTAGGATACATCCTAAATCAGTCAAAAGCTTCCTAACCCTTGTTATTGATAGAGGAAAACATGGTAATGCCTTTAAAATAATTATCGAGGGATCTTCCCGTTTCAAACCAATAATAAAGTAGATGGAGAATACTTTGGAGCGAGAACCTTTTTCGTTTGAATGAACTTAGCGAACAGCCAATTCCTAGGGGGATGATTCCTCGACGCTTCAATCAGTCAGAATCTGTTGAGGCATGTTGAACCTGGCATAACGGATGATGACAAAAGACTCGATCCGTCACATCACGTCGCCATCAAACGATCACGAGTTGGGCTCTTTAGGGAATTTGAGGAATACATCTGAGGAAGTCGACTAGAATACGTCGATAGGGTGACCGAGGTCGAACGCCATCTTAGCTCATATACCTCTTGAAGGTCGGACTAATCAGATAATCCTATCAGACCCCCACATGAGCCAGATACCCAGCAATGAAACGATAGAGGTTATTTGTGATTGCTTATTTTACTTTTAATGTAGACTGGGTTTGGAATGAGCAGTTTGTTTTCCATTGCATTCGTGACTCTCTCTCTCTCTCTCTCTCTCTCTCTCTCTCTCTCTCTCTATCTATCTATCTATCTATCTATCAAGCGCATCACCACTGCAGTTTGGCGTCAACCCCAACCCATTGATGCTTCCCCATCGGTTTCTAGGAGAAAGATGAGAAACAGTCGCTAGGTACTTTGATGGGGCACGTGTATATGCTGAGAGGCACCAGGATCCATTGACATCACGTTGACGGATCTTGTCGTTTGCAGAGAATCGATAGAGATTATTTCACTGGCATGGGCTTATTTGAGTCTTAATAGAGCCTGCAGTTCCCCCACGAGTTTTCTTGCAATGAGTTCTGGGAGTCTCTCCATCAGCTATGCCTTCCAGAAAACTGTGTGTGTTCATGTCTGTTTGCCTGTTTCCCTTTCTCAAGACCGTGTTACATCCCCACTAATGTGTCAACACCAATATTGACATTGAGTTTTCTCGTCGATTTCTTCGAAGGAAAAGGCGGGAGCAGAAGTGGGAACAAGCACTCTCTCTCTCTACCAGCTAGCCAACACCTAACCTTGTCTCTCAGACATCGTCTGTATATTACCTCGTGCCCTACCCTTCTCATGCTCCCTCACTCTCTCTCTCATCTCTCTGGGAGAAGTAGGGGTTGCAGCTGCCTACAGCAACCCATGCTGCCGCTCATCCTTCCGTTCTCCTTTGACAGACGTCGATCGACAGGTCCATGAGTTTTAGATGATGGCTTTTTCTGAGGATAACGTTATAAATAATCCAGATTGCTCCGCCTAAACCATCTTGAATTTATTTCCCTTCCACTTGGTAGGCTTCGCCATTTCGAACACCCACCTTTCGGAAACCCTACTAGTTTATCCATGCCCCCCCATCCCCCTCTCTCTCCCACCCCATGTGGGGAAAATAAGATGAGAAGAACATTCATTTTTATAAAATAAAATTGCGTAAAAGTCCCTTTTGGCATTCGCGCCGGCTGGGGCTCCCGTTCGAAAAGAAAAAAATCCGGTAAAAAGTGCATTTTAAAGGGGTTGATTCCGACGAAAATCTCTCTTTTATGTTCACGCTGGCGGGGTAAATATCCGATCTTACACGCCCTCTCTACCGGGCTGCTTCTACTGTCGAGTGCTGTAGGTGCCCATATTTTCCAGAGAGAGGAGAGGGGCAGGCCGGAGGACTCGACGGTGATGGGCTCCATTCATTGGAAAAGGGTCTCCCCGCAATCATTTGGCCTCGCCGTCTGATTCGACTGTGGGAGTGGCAACCGGTCAAAAGCCCCACCCTATGGCGATCCGCGGCTTAGCCGATCACGTGGTGATCGGCGGCCGTGGTCGCGAGAAGACGTGAAGCCGCGTGGGGTCCCAGAAGGGCGGGAAGGGGGAGGGGGGTTGGTGACTCCAGCCCGGTCGTCATCATGGGACCTCGCCGGATTGCGTCCGCTTCACAGGCGATGAGTCCATAGCATTCAAGCTACACGAGGAGCGTGCGCTGCAAATATGTTCCCCTCTTCCCTCTCCCCCGCCCACTTCGTCTGTCATCTCTCTCTCCTCTTTCTCTCTACTCCCTCGTGTGTCTCCACCACACCTTCCCTCCTCTCTCTCTCTCTCTCTCTCTCCATACTACCCTGACGATCTTGATTCTTCACTGTTAGAACACGGGACGCTGCATCAATAAATGACGAGATGCCATCGACATTATTCGTGAAGTAACGCACATATGATACTTGCATAGGATATTACTTCCACTCCATTCGGCGCAGACCTACTGCCATGGGCGCCGGAGATACGGTAGAGAGGTGATCCCTCGACATACGCGTGCGGAAGGTCGGGTCTTGCGCCGGAACTGTACCAGCGCTCTGGCTGCCCGTCGAACCCAGGACCATCCGATCTTCAATGTCCGTCTGGATGATCTCCGTCCGGCTCCGGCAGGCCATCCCGAGGAGGACCAATGGGACACCCGCAGGGAATCCGCCACTGACATCCCGGCGGTGGAATCGGCGGTCTGGATTGACCTGACCCTTTAATGGCTACCCAACGGGAGGAATCGAACAAGCTATGTATCCCAAAGTGCCCGCTTTTATGATTCTGGTTACTGCGATAGTAGAAGTTTTCTCGATAATTACATTTTTTTCTGCATGATATCAGGGCGGCGGTGCAGTAAATGTAATTCTCTGGTCGGTGTCAACTCTACTCGGTGGGAAGGCAAGTTGATCTCTTGAAACATCCAAGTGTTTGTGGTTGCTTTGTCTTAGATGGTGATTTGGCTGGGGTTGTGACGTGGGATTTGGGTCGGGTCGTGGCCTGGTGGCGCCTCGTGAGAAGACGAGGGTGATGGATGAGAAGAGGGACGCGGGAGGTGCGAGGAAGGCGAGGAGCACGAAGGTGAGAGGAAACCAGGTCGGAGGGCGGAGGTTCCGTTCTGAGTCGGCTCACGGTCGGGGGAGAAAAATTAATCGGGCCTTCCGACCGTCTCGTTCTCCCTCCTTCACGCACCTTAACCTTTTTCACTCTCTCTTCAGTGGTAGTCTGAGCAGCGTCTCTCTGCACTTGTGATCCCTCTTTCCCTTCTGCGTTAGGTTGGCCTCCATTAAATAGGACTGCACCATTTCCTTACTGAACTGGCAACTCGGGGAACCTGGAATGGGATAAAGAGAGGAGAGGGAGGAGGGGGGGGGACCTTCCTTGTCTGGGGTCGCCATCGTCTGCTTCCTCCAGATACTTACTCCCCTTCCAGTCCATCCCTGCCGAGAGTTGTCCCGTCTCCCAGATTTTGTCGATGTCGAGGCCCCTTCACCGAGGCTCTTCCGGCGGCGGCGCGCGGCTGAGCATCGGAGGCACCCGGGACTACCTGGATTACAGGGAGCCGTTGGATTCCAATTCCGAAACCAAGGATTTCGAGAATGGCTGTTCTGCGGCGGCGGTCGCAGCACCCTCCAGAAGTAGGCAGGGAGTGAGCGTCGTGCTGTTTAATCTCGGCTTAACGCTGATCGTGATGCTCGCCATCTTGGTCTCCCTCTACTGGACGATCTCCATCTCTATGTCCTCCCGTGTGGGCATCTACAAGGGCTACCGGAGGCTCCAGGAGCAGCTTGTTTTAGATCTGTCACAGATCGGGGAGCTCTCTCTCAGCACTGCGAAGCCTAAGGAGCTAGAATTCTGCCCGCCCGAGTACGAGAATCATGTCCCTTGCTACAATTCATCCTCCTATATGGATTCAGAAGATTCCTACGTCGGTCGGTCTCGACAGGACCGCCAATGCGTTAGGGAATCCGCCGCCACCCTGGAGTCCATTTGCCTGGTGCCACCTCCGAGGAAATACAGGATCCCTCTCCGATGGCCGACTGGTCGGGACTTCATATGGAAGAACAACGTGAAGGTTTCCGGACAGGAGTTCTCCTTGGGCAGCTTAACAAAGAGGTGAGAACAGTTACTCGTATATGCTTAATTTCAGAAAATTGGGTGATCAGTGGTGTTCTTCCAGGATGATGGTGGAGGAAGAACACATATCCTTCCACTCAGACTCTTTGATGGTCGACGGTGTGGAGGACTATTCCCATCAGATAGCAGAGATGATTGGGCTCAGGAACGACTCCAATTTCATTGAGGCCGGGGTAAGTCCGCCCGCTTGGTTTTCCTCTTTTGCTCAAAGGCTTTCTGCTTTCTGATCTCTTTTTTGGTGGAGAAATGACAAGGTAGAAGGCAAGGAAGAAACAAATAATGGATCGTCCTGGGGACATTTTGAAGCTCTTTTCTTCAAGCTACCTTGGATTCTTCAAAAACGTTTCATCTCATTGATGCAGGTTAGGACTGTCTTGGACATCGAATGCGGCTTTGGCAGCTTTGGAGCACACCTCTCTTCAAAACAGTTGTTGATCATATGCCTTGCTGGTTATGAGATCTCCGGTAGTCAGGTCCAGTTGACTCTTGAGAGGGGTCTCCCTGCAATTATTGGCTCCTTCACGTCTAAACAACTGCCCTTTCCAGTTCTATCCTTTGATATGGTCCATTGTGCCCAGTGCGGGATAGAATGGGAGACAAAAGGTACATGCTTAAATTGGGAAATTAGCCTCTTCTCAGTTATTATAATCGTCCATGGTGTGCATGTGAAGTATCCCTCCAGTTTATCATTCATCTGGAGTTGAATATTTTGTGGAAAATCTAGTTTAGTCTCTTAAAGCTGCTTCTACTTTACCTGGCCGTTCATTCAATAATCCATCAAGTTGATCGCTTACTTGGATTCAACCCTGCTGATATGACCCAATCTGATTACGGGCAAAAAATCTATGACCTGTGAGATCTGAACACTTTTTGTGGAAGCTGGACAGGAAAATTGACACGCCAGAACAATGCAGAAACTCTAGAATTTTTCCTAGTGATCATCATTTACTTTTTAAGACTGGATTCTTCCCTATAATTGGTTCTATTCCTTGACCAAATCAAACAGTGCTCTCTAACTAGGTGGTTAAATCGTCTTTTAACTCGTGCCCATGCATTTACTTTCTGATGGACGTTCTGCTCACGTGGCTGCAGATGGTATCTTTCTGATTGAAGTTGACAGGCTTTTAAGGCCAGGTGGTTTCTTTGTCTGGACTTCAGCGTTGAATACACACAGATCGCTGCAAAGCAAGGAAAATCAGAAGAAATGGACGTTCATACGTGATTTTGCTGAGAGGTTATGCTGGGACATGCTGGCTCAACAAGATGAGACAATCATCTGGAAAAAGACGATAAAAAAGAATTGTTACAGTTCTCGGTATGAGAATGATATATCTATCTATATTTATTTTATTATCTTTTCCTGGATTCGTTAAGTCGTCAATTGAGATGAAGATCCGACTCATAAGGTGACCTGATGATCTTTCAGGAAATCTGGACCTAATATCTGTGGTAAAACTCAAGATCCTGAATCTCCATACTATGAATCACTCCATCTGTGCATAGGTGGAACTCATAGCCAACGGTGGATTCCCATTGAGAGTAGAACAGTGTGGCCTTCTCGGTCCAAGTTGAGCTCTGATGAGCTCAGTGTCTACGGTAATTTATATGATTTGGAATGGCAATAGACACACACTATATTCCCCAGTTACGACTTTCCTGTTCTCACAGTTTATCTTAACTAGGTGATAATTGTTTTTATCCTCCAATGCTCGTTTTTTTTTGTCAGGTGTGCACCAAGAAGACTTTTCTGATGATCTCATGAACTGGAACTCTGTTGTCCGTAATCATTGGTCGCTGCTCTCACCTCTCATATTTTCAGACCATCCAAAAAGGCCAGGGGACGAGGATCCTTCCCCACCTTATAACATGCTCAGAAATGTCCTAGACATGAATGCTCGATTTGGTGGCTTTAATGCCGCTCTACTTGATGCCGGAAAATCTGTATGGGTCATGAACGTAGTGCCTGTAAACGGTGTGAACTATCTCCCCCTGATCCTTGACAGGGGTTTAGTTGGTATTCAACATGATTGGTACGTATAATTCTGTCTTATCTAAATGAATTTAGATTATTGGGTCCGCTTCAAAGATTAGGCGAATTTATTTTTCCTTCCTAGGAAAATACGATTATCTTCTGAAACGCCATATGCATAATATCTGCAGTTTTTATCCTTCCCTTTGAGGTGACTTTTCTTTATGCACTTCTACTGAGGTGATCAACTTATAATCTGGTAATTATTTTCCATCAGGTGTGAGGCATTTCCAACATATCCGAGGACATATGATATGATCCATGCTGATGGGTTGTTGTCACTTGAGGCACACCGGAAGCAGAAGTGCTCCCTGGTTAAACTATTCGCGGAGATTGATCGGATTTTGAGACCAGAGGTGCTTGTTAGGCCCAATCTGAAATGCTAACTATTTTTTTTCGTTGGATGTCTCTTCCTAGTAATTTTTCTCGCCTAATCTTATGCTTGCTATGGTATCCTTGGGGAAAATGTGGAGGTTTATGCGATTCAAATGGTTCATTGGGTTATTACTTGGCAGACTATGCTTTGGACAGCTTGTGGGATTGCAAGAATTTTTTTAGGGTTGTGTTCTGTTGACACTGAGGCATAAGAGTAGGCTCTCCTTCATTCTACTAAGTTCATTAGAGCATATTTGGTAGTACTTTTTTACAATAATTGCTCTGAATGTTTATCTCGTAATCCCTGCAATAGAACCTTCCAAGGCAATTGTTTGATTTGTAGTCCTATTGCTATACATCGATTTCTCATTAAATTATGACCCATCTGCTCGGACCGACCATTTATTCTGTAGCCCTAAATTCATAAATCAATCTCTATTCGATGTAATGGCCTTCTTCTCGATAAGACTCTTCGAATGACTCCTTTGAAAGAAATCAGTAATATTGCTATGTTTTTCACCATTGTCATCCCCAGCTGACCCACTCTCCCTTCTCTGGAGATGAATCAACTCTTCTGTGAAAGTTCTTTTGCAGATCAGCCGGAGAATTTGTCTCTGAAACCTAACCCAGGGGCGCTGGCTTGCTTTGGTGGTGTAATTACTTCTCTAATTATTGTTCCCTTATTCTTTCTCACTTGACTTGGTCTTATTTTACTTCTACTTGCATGATTCGGTTCTTCAAGTGGGAAGCCTTGACCTCGTTGTGTAATTATAATTTTGTGATTACCTGTTATGCTTCTTATGCCTATTTACACTTTTCTTCCTTCCTCGTGAGGAGTTTTAGTATCAACTGAAAAAATATTGCTGAAACCTGACTGCTTTTACTGATCCGATGCCTATTCTTGAAACATGCTTCCCGATTGAAGACTGCTTTGTTTATGATAGCTAGATTCAGATTGGCTCGTCACTTTCTTCGGAATATCTCCAGAGAGGCTGAAAGTGGCTCCAATGCAGGGCTGGGTCATACTCCGGGACACAGCGTCTCTCATCGAGGAGACCCGCTCCGTCACGTCGCTGATGAAATGGGACGCCCGCATGATGGAGACCGACGTCAACAGCGACGAGAGGCTCCTCCTCTGCCAGAAGCCCTTCATAAGGAAACAGCAGTAATAAACGTAGCCCCCCAGGCTTCCCCCTGCTTTTTCCCGTAATACTATTTTGGCGGACAGTAGCACCAACAGAAGTGTGAATCAAGAACAGATGAGAGAAGAGTGCTCATCTTTGCATGGAGGGTAGGCCACGTTCCCGTGAGACTGCAAGGCTCCACGGGGTCAATGTAATTAGAAAGGATAATTCAATATAGAGAGAGGTAGATTCATTTTTTTTTGGCCCCCCGTCCCCCTTTGTCAAAGATTCATCATAGGATTAAAGGAGGGGGGGATGCATTGCCGAGATCCCTGAATAAAATACCTTTTATGCGTGTCACTCTTCTTTCTGGTCGGTCTTCCAGTTCCTGCCGATCTACGTTTTGCAGTGTGCAGAGGTGACCATATTTGGCAGGAAGAAGAAATTTTTGATTCGTCTTGGACTCGACACCGGTCATAACGCCTGTTCTTGTTGAGACAGTTTCGTATCAGGGGCTGTCCTGGGGAGGGGAGAGAGAGAGAGAGAGAGAGAGAGAGAGAGGCCCTCTTCAATAGGTACAGCCCTCAGTTCTCAGGAAGAAGAGAAGTGAGGACGAAACCAGACTGCCACGTACTCCTTCCTGGTTCCGTTGGAGAGAAAGAGCGTGGCTGGTGGTGATGTTGGGCATCGGGACAGGGCGGAACCGGACCAGACCGCTTGAAGGAAAGGTTTTAAGTGCGTAGAGGAAGGCACTGTCGCCGTGCGCTCCAGATACAAGCCTTCCGACATAGGAGGTGACGAATAGGGCGGAGCTTCTTTTCTGGCCTAGTCCGATCGTTTTCGAGCCGTTTTCAGATAGAGAGACTGAGGAGATGGCCCCGGCGCGTTCGTGACCATCGTCATGTACCCGGTGTGAGTTCCAAAATCCAGAATCCGTTTTCCGTCGGCGACGCCTCCTCGCAGCCTCTCTCGCTCGACACCCGGCGGGCTGGATCTCCGACGGAATCCGTCCGATGGAGACGATCCCAGTCCTCGATCTGCGGCTGCTCACCCAGGCGGATATCAACGCCCTCTCCTGCGCCTCCTCCTCCGGCGCCGGTGACAACCGGAGATGCGACGACGTCGTGATCCCAAAGATCGACCGCTCTGTCTTCAACGAGAGTGCCGGAAGCCGCAAGCAGACCTATTCTCGCCTCCGCCTTGCCCCTCGCAAGTCCCCTGAGTTTTGCCACTCTAGCTCCCCCTCGCCCTCCTCCGGTTCCGCCCGCGGCCGTCGCCGCGCCTGCGGCCCTCTCGTTGGTCCCTCCGCCTCCTCTTCCGCGAATGCTCCTCCTCTTCCTCCGCCCGCTCCTTCCGATCCCTTGCCTGTTCCTCCCGCCTCGGGTGCCGTGGATGACTCCGGCCGCCTGGAGAACGGGCAGATTGTTCTCTTTCTTCGTCAACTTTTCGCGCGGAACGGCGTTGAGATCCCCAACGTAACCGCTCCTCCTCACGATGAAAGCGCTACCGGTCTTAGAGCCAGCGTCAATGACAAACTTAGCCCTGCGGAAAATCTCCCTGGGAATGGTTGGAGAGAGCAAGAGGCGACGAAATCTGTGAACAAGGACTGTGATGTTCTAAATGTAAATGGTGTGGCTGTAGACTTAATAGGGCTGGGAGCGAAGGAGGAAATCTTCGAGGCAGATATGATGAGGATGACACAGGGTCTAGTGACAGAGGAGCAGTTCCTGGATTTCCTTGGGGGATTGGAAGGGCAGTGGGGTAGTCGGAGGAAGAGGCGGAGGATTGTGGATGCTGCTAATTTTGGTGTTGCCTTGCCAAAGGGTTGGAAGCTCTTGCTTGGACTCAAGAGGAAAGATGGAAATGTGTGTCTGCACTGCCGGCGATACATAAGGTTAGTTTATTGGTTTTCTCCATTGACGTGATGAGCTTGTCCTATTTCTTTGTCTATGGTATTCTGGAATATGAATCGTTGTGAACAACTATGAACAGAAACATATGACTTCAAGAAGACGAATCTATTGGTGAGGACTTAAAAAGATAAGTGGTTAATCAAATGAAAAGGCTCAGTGGACTCCAACCAAATCCCCATCACTGCGGCCTTGCTGCTTTTAGAAGTCACATTTTTCTGAATGGGTCGCTCTAGTATGTTGGACAAGGGAAACCCTGTCCTGCAATCTGATTTGCTTTCCCAGTCAACTGTTATGTGTCCTTTTGTTTCCAGTTGTTTGGAGGAAATCTTTCTCTGAAATAATTATTGAAACTATTCCTTTTTCAATGCGAAGAATATTAATTACGATGTTAGATAAACTTAGAAGCCTATCGGCTTTAGACAATATTCATACCAAATAAATTAATGAAATACTAGAAGGGGAAATGAAAGAAGATAATGTTCTGCATATTATTGTTAAAGAATAGGATAGTGTTCCAACCAGATGAAGAGCATTTTTAAAGAATGTTGCAAAACACCGATAATTGAACGTTAGACTTGACGTAATTATACAATCCTTAGGGGTACTTGTAGCATCTAACAAATGAGACTGTGAATAAACACATAATTAGACATATTTCAAGAGATTGCTTAGTGTTCAACATGCTTGGATTAAGCCTATTTGCAAAGATGTCTGGATTAAGCCTAGTCGCCCTTTGTTGTTGACCATCCTGTTGGGAAACTTATTGATGAAGCTAAATGTTTGGGTACTATGATCAGGCTATATCTTTCCTCATCAAAATTTATATAAAGGGAAAGGATGTCAAAACATGTCATGCCAAATAGGTTATTGGAAGTTTGCAAAAACTCATATTTTGAAAGGTAGTATGATTTTACCTCTTCATTTGAGCTCAATAACCTAATTTGATGAGCCTTAAAGTTTTTTTTTCGAAATTGAGGAACTAATCAATCAACAAAAGAACAATTAGTTTGACTATCTTAACAAATAATATCTTGATGGAAGCCATAAAAATTCTCTTCGTCCTTTTTCATGGAAATCAATATTGGTCTTAGTAAAGTGGACTCTTAGTGTACGTCATGGAGTTACTTTTGAGAACTATTGTCTCAAGGATAGCAAGAAGCATTCGATTGTGTTTCATGAGTAGGAATGCTCTTTTTAAAATATATTCTGCGTTTAGGGAAGATTAAATCCTTGAGAAAGGGCTGATGTGTCCTGTCCTTGACATGTTCTCACTCACACATCATCACTTATCTTGACAAATCCGCAGAAAAAAGAGACCTTTATTACGTGGCCTTAAAAAATGCACATATGCTCTCATTATATACTGCCAACTGTATCATGTAACAGTTGGTAAAACAAGGATGAAAAGATGAAAGATAAAACATAACTGAACCTCCTAGAGAGGATCTTTGGTGGATTGTAACTACTTTAGGAACCTGATATGCACATATCATAAGACGTCACTCACTTCTGCTCTCCCTTTCAAGTTTCTGATAGAAGCTCTTGCATTCAACTTGATTAATGCTTATGTCACTAAACAGGGACAAACAGCCAGAAAAAAAATCTCTTCTTCTCAAATCACAGAATAATTGCTAGTTATATATAATTATCTTGACCAGAAAAAAGGGAAGTATCTAGGTTAAGGAAATTGACCAAAGGAAACTAACCAACCAAAACTAACTCTTAATTTCACATTTATTCCACATTTCATCTATAGCTAGTGAGTAGTCATTCCCCATTCCCAGCTTAGATATAGTTCTTTGAAATATTGAACTACTTAAATCCTTAGTACAACTATAAGTTGTCCATGTAGACGTGTAAGGTACAAATAAGTCTGATTTCCAACTTTTCCTTGATGTGTTTTGCTCGTCTTGTTGTCATAATAGGGTCTCATTGGGCCGTCCCACTTAATCTTCAAGTCTTCTGGGATAATCTTCAAACAAAGTAGTTTACACAGACCCTGAGCCATTGCTCAGAATTTAGCCTTACTTGACTGTGCTACCACATTCTATTTCTTATTTCTCCATGTCACGAGATTGTAATGAAAAAAGGTGCAGTATCCAGTGGTTGATCTCCTTCCAACACTAACCTTGTATAATTAATAACTGTGTATGCCTCAAGTACCAAACCTCCATTTCTTTTGAATAGAATACTTTTTCATGGTGTCCTTTGAGACATTGCAACACTTGGTGAGCTGCATGTAGGACTTCTTTTGGACGGTGCATGAATAGGGTAATCACATTCATTGTGGATGTTGTATCTAGTTGTGCTTGAGACAGATAAATGAGCCTTCCTGTCAAGTGCTGATGCACTTTCTTATCTACTATAGCATCTTACTCTGCCTTTCCAAGTCTAATATTCAAATCTATTGGATTATTTCCTGGTCTGCATGCATTCTTACTTGTTTCTCTAAGAAGATGAAAAAAATCGCCTTACTTCAATCTCAAGAAAATATTTCACTCCTCTAAAACAATGGCTCAAATAATATTTCTCTTTATCCTCATTCTTGGTCACTCTTATCAACATATACCAAGAGTGATGTGACTCTCTTTGATGATGAGTGTTTAATAAATAGTCTATGATTTTCTAAGATTTGTCTATATCCCATAGGAATCATAATTCTCAAAAATTTGGCTAACTATACTTGCGGTGATTGCTAAGTCCATACAAGGTTTTCTTCAATTTACACACCGTATGTCCCTCCAAATTATTCTTATAATCTGGTAAGATTTCCATATCAATTTCTTTCTCTTGTTCACGATTTAAAAATATATTTATCACATCAAAGTATTATAATTTCCTACCATAATAGTTGTTAATGATAACAAGATTCTAATATTATTCATCTTTGCGACTGGAACAAACATTTCTAAGTAATCAATCTCATAGGTTTAAGTATAGCCTCTGGTAACCAACTTAGCCTTATATTTCTTTAGATTTTTATACTTCGTAATCAATCTTCAGTGTATAGATCCTTTACAGTCCAAGTGTCTCTTTCCTATTGACAGTCTTATTATTTCCCAACTTTTGTTCTTCTCTAATGCTTCCACCTCCAAATTCATTACTTATTTCTATTTCTTCTTAGGGATTGTAATAGTGTTTAAGCTAACTAGGAAGGCTCTATAAGATGGCGAAAATATTTGAAGGACAAGAACCCTTCCTAGCTATTCAGAAAGGGTAAGAGGATATAAAGGTCGTTTTGTTCATTCTCTAGTTCCCTTCCTAGCTATTATTACTCATGAGATTTAGTATCAGCTTGTAATTAAATCTCATGATCTAAGTTGTATTCTTGGGCCTACATAGATTCTGAAACAACTATCTCCTCTTTTGAGAACACCTTCCCTTTTGCTAAATCTTACATTTTCAAGGGCAAAGTTAGAATTATCTTGAGGGTTTTCTAGAGTTTGAAATTCAAGATTTGGCTTGAAGTCAGATACAAGTTTAGATAGAGGAATAGTGGAAGACATTAGAAGTGGTGGTGGATAAAATTTCCCATCCTTATCTTCAATGATTGAATACTTCCCTTGAAGAAACAGTGTGATGAAAGTGACATGTACTGAGACATTTTACTTTTTGTTGAACATTGATAACACTTATACCCTTTCTGAATTTAGAATAGTCCACAAAGAGATATTTTAATACCCTTGGATCTAATTCCCCCTCCCCCCCTTTGTTGACCGTAAACCTAAACGAATGATACACATCCAAATACCCTAGGGACAAGATTATTAGTAGTGTGTAGGTTTGGATAGAATAAGGACAATGTTTCTATTGGATTCTTGAATCCTAAGACTCTAGAAGGCAAAAAATTTATGAGATGAGTGACCTGACCTAAACCTTTTGACTTTGACCCCTAACTGATTCTTAGTCATGGAACAAAAAATTGATAAAAAGGTACTAGAATCAGATTTATTTTTCAGAAAAAAAATTATACTAACAAGAGTACAATCATCAATTAATGACATAAACCATCTAGTCCTATAAACATAAGGAACTATAGAGAGGCCCCGTACATCATTATGAATCAGTTAGAAATGAATATAACTTATTGTTTTACTGACTAGAAATGATAAACATTTGTGTTTAGCAAATTCACACACGCTGCAATGAAAATCTTCAACACATGCCTTGAAATAAAGGAACAAACATAATGCTAATAACCCTAAATCATGGTATCCAAGTTAGCAATGGTGAAGCCAAACACCTTTCTTATGAAATGAAGAAGGCTTAAAAGAATGAAATAATTTTTCCTTTGCACGATTTGACTGGCTCAGTGCTTCGACGTAATAGAATCCAACCCATTCTCCACATGCCCAATCATCCTCCTTGAATTCTTGTTATAAAGGGCACAATGATGATGTTGAATAACTACTTTGCAGTGCAAATCTTGAGTAAGCTTTTGGATAGACTTTAAGTTTGTGGACAATCTAGGGAAATGAAGAACAATTTTAAAAGTCACTGAAGGATTTGTTTTAACATTTCCTGCACCTTCTACAATGGTCAAAAAATACCAGCTGTGGCCATTTTCCTACTATTTGGACAAGGAGTATGTGGAAAAGACGTGGTGAATGAATAATATGTTTGGTAGCATTTGGATCCATTATCAAGGAGTTAGTAAGGGTCACACTGAAGACATTGAATATAATAGAGGATGAATACGAACTTAAATATGCCAATGATTAGGAATCTGTTACTTTGTCAGGATTGCCAATGAATGATCTCAGCCTCTTGAACTCTTCCTGGTTGAGACCACCTAACTCCTTTGGTACTGCTTCATTCTGCTATATTGTCATGACATGATCTTGAGCATTGTTCCTTGGCTGCTCTCTTTTCTGTCCCTTTCCTTGACTCAGAGGTTTTCCATGGAGCTTCTAGCACCATTCATGATTATGATGGGGCTTCATAGGCTGTCCTTATGGTCACTCTTAGCAACTAATGCTCTCTCCACATCTGTGGTTGAATTATTGCCACGTCTAGCCACCATAGCTGAGTTGTACATGCTTTGTGGTTCAAGCATCAAGCCTCTTCTGCATTCCCTCTCCTTGAATCAGTGTCACTACATTATTAAAGCATGGGCCTTCTGCTTGCAGAGAATTTGAATTCTCACATGATCAAATTCTGGATTAAGCAGCACAAGAAAATCATTAACTCTGTCTTGCTCAAGGAAATCCTTAAGAATAGCTGCATCCTCGGGACATTTGGTTTTAAACACCCTATCATGGTCAAGTTCTTGCCACAACGCTTTCAACTGGTTAACATATTGCACAACTGTTTTACTTCCCTGTTTTGCAGCAATTTTCTTCCCCTCAAGGTCATATACTTGAGCCGCATCTCTATCTTTGGAATAAGTCTGTTGGAGTGCATCCCAGATATCCTTGGTTTTTAGCAAATAACATGATATGTCACTAATCTCAGGTGTCATAGAATTCCATTACCACACCATAACCATTTCATCTTCCTCATCCCATGCCTCAAACTGAGGATCCTCTTGTTTTGGCCCTGTATCTGTGAGATGGCTGATCTTCCCTTTCCCTTTCAGCACAATGCAAACAGGTAATTTTTTCCATCCAATCTGTTTGTAGCCTACCTAAATACTCTGCAACTCCCCAGGTTATCAAAACCATGCAAATTCCTCTGATTTTGTTGTAGTGATTATCTCTCCTACTCTGACATCTCTAAGGTGTGGGACAGTATGGACAGCTGTCCGAAATCTGCAGAAAAAACTGCCAACTACAGTAGCAAAAGGATTGTTGATGTTTAAGGCTGAGAGAATTGACAATGAAGATTGATAATCAGGAGAGGTTCTTAACAATTAAGGGTGATCTGTATAGCCACAATGAAACCACAGAAAAAAAATTCCCAAGTTTACTAGCCTAAGGCTCTGATACCATGATGCAAACCATGTGAGGATAAACAATCAGGAAAATCTTTTCTTCTTCTCAAATTATATAACAATTGCTAGTTATATACAATTACCTAGGCCACCAAAACAGAAACTAACTAGGTTAAGGAAATTGACCAACTAGGAAATTAATAAACCAGGAAACTGACAAACTGGGTAACTGACCAGCAGAAACTCATTTTAGGACAATTTTTTTCGTTTAGGATTTCAATCCCCTTGACTGAACATGTGAGATAGTTCCTCTTAGTCCAATCTTTCCTTGATGAACTATTGGTCAATCTCAATGTTGCAAAAAGTTTTCAGAGGTATTCTTGGGACATTTGTTGTTACAATATACCTTTATCAAGAGATCAACCTTTGCAGTAATGACTGGGACTAAAAATTCAACCACAACAACTTATTTATCAAATTTGCCACAATATTGCACTCATTCCTTGGAACAAAACCTAGTGCACCTACTTTACTTGCTTTCATCTTTAAGAGACAAAGTTGCCTCTGAAATGGAGTTGACCTTCTGTTTTCATTAAAATATTTTCAATCTATATTTCCATAACCCTAAGTGTTAGCAGCTGTTTGACATTGAAAATAACGGGCTGTTTCCTGATGAAGACTTGACATACTTGATAAGTCTGGCCATGGCATCCATGTAAGAAGTCTTGGGAGGCTTGCTTCAGCTAGCTGAATAAAGTTACTATGGGTCACCTAAGAGATAGTGAACATTTGAGAAGGCATTTGTCCTCTATAGGGTTTTCACTAATTTAGTGGTCCAGTTTCATCAGTAAATGTAGATACCCTTACTAGATGGAGTCCCCTCCATGCTCAAGAAGATTTTAGATGATTAGCATGTTATGCCCAATTGTTTAGCAATATCTTTAAATAGTTATGCCTCCACCTTTTTATCCCTGGTGAGCACTATGTCATTTACATATAAATATCTCTTGTGGCATGTTTTTTAGTGATGTAGTTTTTCTTTTAGGATATAACTGCAAAAACAATCAATCCTTGAGGCTTCTCATCTAGAAACCATCAATGGGAAAATAGAGAACTTTCTGTAGCATATAATGAATATCCCTGTAAATTTCTGACCCATATGAATGAGATGATAAAATGTGAGAAAACCTATACCAAGAATTAGTTTCATAGGAATGGATGTGCTAGTTCGTGTAAGAATGGTTATAAGCGAATTTCAAGCGAGTATCAGATAGAATTGTTCACGTCCAAGAGAATTTCAACAATGTTTGTAATGAATATATAGAGAAGCATGGGTTTTTGGAAGGTAGCTCTTGAAATAGTGTATAAATGCAGAAATCCTCGAAGATTGACTTTTATGATATGGGTCGAGGGTTTAAGGTGGAACATAAGGAAATTCATATTTTTATTTCCACTTGTTTGAGAGGAAATCGTAAAAATGGATAACTTCAATTGTTCTCATCTAAGAGTGTTCTGTGTGTATGCACAGATATACGTACAGAGAGATAGAGAAGAGAAAGAGGTTTATATATGTACATGCATGTGTACATATATAAGTATATGCTCGGGCTAGCTGTTACCTTTATATTTCAATTAATAATAATAAATCTCATGTATTGTTTCATTTTATCATTTTTTTCAAAGAAGTCATCGTTGTTTTTCTGCTCCTGTTTTATTTAGATAAATAGTTCTCTATTTGCTTATTTTATTTTTTATCTGGGTAATTTTTTATCTGGTGAAATTAATACGATCATAAACATAACTAATAGATAAAGTATTTGAAAATGACTCTTTTGAGTAATACAATATTCGGTAATTTCGTTTCTTGTGTTCATCACACAATTGCTGAGAATGATTTGCTTTTCCAATTTAAATTATTCAGTCCAAGTGGAAAGCAGTTAACATCATGCAAGGAAGTTTCCTCTTATTTACTCTCTTGCATTGGATCCCGAGAGGCCAGAGCTACACTTGCTGTTGAAAGTGGTGCTGACAAATCAGGAAATGAACATGTAAGATTTTTGTAGAATTTCCTTGTATTTCATCGAATTTGTTGGTACTAGTCCTCTTCGTTTTATTACAGGCTCTAGGTTTTAGTCATCAAGCAACTATGGCAACAAGAAGTCCACATTACCCTTCAATCACACCGCCAACTTCTATTCTATCTGATGCTGGGAAGCAAACTGTTTTATTTGCAGTTGGGAATCCCGTAAAAATAGAATCTCAAGATATTCTAAGTTGTGAGAAATGCAATCTCACTTTTTCTGACAAGGACTCCGAAATACAGCACTTCTTGGCATTTCATAGGCCAAGTAGAAAGAGACATAGACGTGGGAAATCTGTTACGGATGGTGTTATCATAAGGGATGGGAAATACGGGTGTCAATTTTGTAATAAGTTCTTTACTGAGAGACGACAGTACAATGGACATGTTGGAATTCATGTGAAATACAATGATAGGAGTCTTTATACATTGAAAACTGAGACTCCTATCGAGAAAACTATTCCCTCTTCCTCAGAGGGGTTGCCTTCAGCATTTGTTAAGCACGTAAGTTCTGTTGACTGTGAAGTGGAGACTATGATAATTGAAGAAGATTTAAATGCAAGATCTGTTCGTTTACTAAATAATTTTCACCCTCACGTTAGTGAGCATGCTAATGGTACTGCCAGTGACCATTTAGTTGCGTATCAAAAAAATGAAAATAAGGCAATTACAGTACATGACATTCGTACGATTGGAGTCAGTGGTGAAATAGATAATCATTTGGCACGGACTGATAGCTTTGACGATGAAAAAGAAATGAATTTGAAATCTTCTGATGATGACAGAAGTTTTGTTCGAGAAGAATGGAGTGGTAAATGCAAGGCTGAAGCAAATAATATTTCCCCTCAAAAAGGTCTGCAAAATAATTTGAATAAAGTTGATTATGGTTCAGTGTTTAATATTGAAATTCCTGAAAGCAGATTTGTTGGTTGTTTGGCGAATGACCATTTTATGACTGATCAGGTACCTAGAAAACCCTCTGAAACTGGCGAAGTCCTGAATGGTGATCTGCGTCTATGCTTTGATTCTACCTGCCCATCTCTTGGTGATATTGGAATTCTCTCCACCAAAGATCTTCCTAGAAATCATCTGTCTGAAAATATGACCAGTTGTAAAGTTGAGAAGCAGAGTAAGGTGAAGATGACTTATGGTAATCGTCCAATTATTGTATCCTCGGAATTGACCGTATGTTCTAAATCCGGTAATGATCATGTTGTGAATAGTGAGAACAAGGTTCACCTTGAAAATAATGTGAATTTTTCATGTACTGAGGAGGGGAACTCAAGTAAGACTGTTCCTACCTGTATGGCCAGTGGCCTTGCAGAGCTGGCTAAATCTAGCAGTGAATTAGCAATTGCAGTGTCTAATGGGACTGTTGCTGTGGACCATATTGTGCACGATAAAATTCAGCTCTCCAGATCTACAGAGGAAGGATTTCCCGAAAGTTTTACCTTGACCCCTGGCAGAAAATGTGGGAATGCGGATACCCCTGGAAAAGAATGTGTGCTTGCCATGTTGAATCAATCTCGTGCTGTTGTGAAAGATGGCTTTATGAGAGATGATACTTTAGTCAATGGAGATGCCCCAAGGAATATTCATGTTTGTGATGAAGAGAACGTGATGTGTATTCAACAAGCTAACTTGCAGATTCTAGGGGAACAAAGGTCTGTTCGTCCTCTCATCCTGGATATGATATCTGATAAGGTGTGGTGCCTAAACTTTCCTAATTTTATCCATGGCTTGTTGTTGAATTTTTCCTTCATGAACGATTGACGGAAGAAATTATCTATTATTTTGATGAGAAAAGTGCGAGCTTCTTTTAATGAAATTGACAAGTTGTTGCTACTAGGAAAGCTAACTGCTCAATATTGTCGGTTAGCTTTATAGATTGATTTATGTTATGTGCAGTGTGATGGCAGCAATTTGGGCGTTAGATCCTGTTTCTGTAATTTCTTTATCATTCTGAAGTGTTCGCCTCTATTTTGGTTCATGTTTTATGGAGAAATCACAAAAGTTCTTATTCTTTAGCTTTCTTTTATATGCGGCTTACTTTTTCAAGCTGATATATTTTTCTGTTGCTTGGGTTGTTCTAGCGTGCAAATCAGAATTATATGAGCATTCGTTGTGTAAAGGAGAAAAAAGGCGTCTGTTTGAGGTCCTCTATAGATTCCAGTGGGGAAAGGATCATCAGAAGTAATTTTTGAGAAATCGAAATATTGATTGCTGCTCTTCTGGATTAAGAGACTAGTGTAGAAGAGCCTTGTGGAGAAGACAGTTCTATCTCCAGTATGTAATCTTTTATCCAAAAAGTATTGTGGAAAATGAAAAAGAGAGGCAGAGACGAAGTAGCATTGTGATCTTCCAAGAAATGTTGAACGACCCTTGGATGAGATCTAGTCTGGTCAAACATCCAAAGCTGCCTCAATTTTATGCAAAATTATTGAACTAGAGCCCATTTCTATGCATAACGCCTTTCTGCGGTGGTGAACTTGCCTTAAACTCCAGTAATGGGAAACTAAAATTAAAATTCCATTAACTAATATCCATAGTTTCAAATGCGTTTTTCATCCCTTACAGTAGCAGTGAGTTCAACCTGCCTAAATGAGCAGCCTCTTCCAGGACTGCTGTACTGTCGGACCTCTGCCTTGGTATACCTTAATTTCGGTAAGCATCTCGTTAGGGTTTCCCACTCCATGTTGTGAATACTGTCAGCCGTGCATTTAAAAAAATGATCTCAGTTTTGTTAGCTAGGGCATTCCAGAGCACAACTGCTTTGATCTAGAGAATAGACTTCAGCTATTTGAGATTGAGTGAAGTGGTCTGTTCACTAGTTCATAGAGCTTTCACAATCAATTATGTCTCTGATATAGCTGTGATTAAATTCTGTAGTCAAGATAACATATGATCTGGAGCTCTGATAGACGCCCAGCACTCGTGGAAGAACAAAAAATTTATTGATCAAGAAGAATTATTACAAGGAGAGCGGGATCCAGTATTTATACCAGATCCCTAGAAGGTTCTAGACATACTGATGTAACACGAAAAATGGAAGATACAGGAGGACATATCTGTAAACATGTAAGGTATACAGGTTATTTAGTTCATCTCAACAATACTCCCCCTCAAGCTGGTGAGTGGATGTCATCCATCCCAGCTTGGGAATAATCTTCTGCAGCTGTGTACCCGAGATGTCTTTAGTAAGCATGTCTGCCAACTGATTATTTGATGAAATATATGATATACAAATCACATTGGCCTCAAATTTTTCTTTGATGAAATGACGATCAATCTCCACATGTTTAGTATGGTCATGCTGCACTAGGTTGTGCACTAGATTGATTGCAATAAATCTTCATAGGACGGGGTAAAAGAATCTGTAACTCGTCAAGTAATTCTTGACCCAAAGTAACTCACATATTCCTTAGGCAAGTGGCCTAAGTTCAGCCTCAGCACTTGATTGAGCAACTACATTCTGTTTTTTACTCCTCCAGGTGACAAGGTTGCCACCAACAAAAGTAAGATGACCAAAGATTGTCCGTCGATCAATTATTGAACCTGTATAGTCAGTATCTGTAAACATCTCAACTTCTACCTTTTCACTTTGTTTAAAAAGAACTCGTTTCCCTAGTGTGCCTTTCAAATAATGTAGCACTCAGTAGGCAGCATGCAGATGAGATTCTTTAGGTTGATGCATAAATTGACTCAAGATACTCACTATATATGAGATATCCAGTTAAGTGTGTTAGATAAAGTAATTGGCCAATGAGACATTGGTACATCTTATGGTCAACAGAAATTTCTTCATTTACCATACACAGTTTTTGGTTTGGATCAATAGGTGTATTGGCTAGTTTACACAGATTTCCCAGTTTCAACTAAAAATGTTATGTGCTTTCATTGAGAAATAAAAATGACTCTAGAAGAATGTGCCACTTCAATTCCTAAAAAATACTTTTGTCTCAAAGTCTTGACATCAAACTTTTTGGCTAAACAATCACTCAAGTTATGGATCTCCCCTTCATCATTTCTTGTGATAATAATGTCATCAACATAAATCAATAGAACCATAACTCTCCCTAAAGGTTTGTGTTTAAAAAATAATATGTAATTTTTTCATATCTTGGCAGGAGAGTCATGTAGATCTCTTCAACCAAATCACCATGCAAGAATACATTTTTAACATCAAACTGTTGAATATTTCACCTGAAAATTGCTGCCAAGGACAGTAGAAAACGGACTGTATTCATTTTGGCCACCAGTGCAAAAGTTACTTGATAATCTATTCCATATATTTGTGTATAACCCTTAGCCACCAGCCGGACTTAATACCTCTTAATCGAACCATCCTATTTATATTTCACCATGTACACCCATTTGCAACCAATAGTTTTCTTATCTAGTGGTAATTCCACTAAATCCCATGTCTGATTTTTTGCAAGAGCTCTCATCTCATCATCCATGATTTGTTTCCACTCAGGATTGGATAGAGCCTCAGAGAGATTTTTTGGAATAATAGTGGTGTCTAAGGATGCAAGAAATAATTGATAGGGTGGAGAATGTCTGTGATAAGATAGGAAATTGACAGCTGGGTTCAAGGGAGTTTTTGTACACTCCTTTATAGGTTTGCATAGGGCAATGGGAAGTGAATCATGAGGTAGGACTACGGGATCATCAGGTGAGGGAGATGTTAGTGGCTGTATATTTTCTAAGGCCAGATTAGAGTCTTGGATTTTTGGTGAATTGTGAATTTCCCCTCCCCCAAAATAAACCTTGTCAAACCTTAGGTTTTCAAGAAGCAGATTCAATATAGGACTGGGTATTTCAGGGACTGAAATGGGAATGAACTGGTTACCAGCTGAAGACAAGAGTTAAGAATCTACATGTTGATCTATATGAGCTGTAGAAAATAGATGTTGATTACTAGATGGAGATTCTTTAAAATAAGAATCAGATTCATGAAATGTGACATCTAATGAAGTAAATTTTTTTCTAGGAGGGTGGTAACATTTGTACCCGTTTTGATTGGTAGCATAACTAAGAAATATACATTTAAGTGATCTCATTTTAATTTGCCTTTGGTTTGATTATGAATGTGAATGAAAGAGACACAAGCAAATGTCTTAGGTTCTATCTTAGTTTTAAGTTGACTGTCTAGAAAAAAGTGAATCTAACAAGCTGTGGAAGCCTAAGGTTCTAGATGGTAATTGGTTAATGAGCTATGTGGCTGTTAGAATAGCCTCACCCCAAAAAACTTTAGGTGAATGACGTTGAAGTAAAATTAACCGAGTGATTTCTAAAAGATGTTGATTTTCTTTCAGCTAAACCATTTTGTTGTGGAGTATAGATGTAAGTGGATTCATGTATGATGCCTTCTGTCCAGAAGTATAAATTCAGATTTTGACTAAAATACTCTTTAGCATTATCATATCTGAATTTTTTAAAACTACTAAGTTGATTTTTTATCATGGCCGAAAGAATTTCAGAACATCACACACATTGAATTTTTGTTTGAGAAGTAAGACCCACATACATCTTGTACAATCATTAATGAAAGTGACAAACCCTTTGTTACCACGAATGCCATTAATAGGACATGGTCCCCAAATGTCACGATGAATTAGGAAGGAAGAAATATCACTCTTTTCCCTTTGAGATTGAAATGAAATATGTGTGTTTAGAAAGTTCACACCCATTACATTTAAGAATATCCAAAGAACCCTTTGAAATAAAGTAGGGGAAATTATTTTCAAAGTGTTAAAGGATGGATGACCCATCTGTTGGTGAAGTGGTCGTGTCTTAAGGACATCTTTTAGATGTTCTAGAGATTGATCTGCTTCCACTAGATATGTTTGGCTCAGTCCTTCTAGAAGATAAAGACCTTCACACTCTGTAGCAACTCTAATCCTCGATGATATAACTTATCAAGTATGACACAAATATCTTCATCAAAAAAGACACAATAAGGTGAGTCTCTAACAAATTTCTTAACTGAAGTGAGGTTTGTAAATAACTTGGGGTCATGAAGAACATTAGTAGGAATTCTAAGAGGTTCAAGTCTAATATCTCATATACTTGCGACAGTTAGAAAAGATCCGTTTGTAACAGTCACTTTTCTATCACTAAGATAGGGGTTGTACTTGGTAAAAAAGTTGGAGGATTTGGTCATATGGTCAGTTGCTCTTGAGTCCACTACCTAATTATTAGAAATATCTCTAGAAGAGGCTTTAACTCCAAGAGAGTGGTGAAACATGCTAGGCTGAACTGATGAGAATTGTGTTATTGTTGACTTCAGTTTTTTCAACTCAATTTAAAGTCACTCTATATCCTCAATCTGAGGAGAAGAAGAATGTTGATTGGTTTGAGAATCTGAGGGCTGACTAGTTGGTAATCATGTTGTCAATTGTGTTTGACTGCTATATTTTTTAGTGCCAAAATTGTGATTTGTCATGCAGTTTATAGCATCTATCTCTACTGTGATAAGCTTTCCTGCAATATGTACACTACAGATTATCACGAAAATCAATTTTCTGATTTCTTCCTTGGCCATGCTGAAGCTACTTAGCTTGATTTATAGCTTTTTTCATAATTTCTCCCTGTTTAATCATAAATGCAGTATTGTCAATTTCAGGCACTGACAACATTAATTTTCAACGACTTTCCTCATTGGAAATGTTTGAAATATCTTCATTCAAATTACATTTCCTTTCACAACTCAAATTCTATTGTCTGACCTGATCAAAAATAGAATTAAGTCCAGCCAAAAATTTAAACACTCTTCTTCGTTCTATGTCATAAGACAGGAATTTCTGCAAGTTGTTTTTGTATTAATACTAAGATAATAATCAATTTCCTTTCATAATTTTTTCATTTCTCCTACATATGTCAACACAGATTTATTTCTTTGAGTTGTGGACATGAATTTTATCTCAAGTTCATATAAATGTGCCTCATTGTTTCTTTGTGAGAATTTTGTGTGAACTATTTCCCACAAATCTTTGACTGTAGATAGGAAGAAAAAATCTCGACTAATTTGGGGAATCATTGTTCCCCAAAGCCAAGTTTG